GGAGGACTGGGAAAAAATTCCAAGCACATCTAATATATATTTTTTGGACACAGCAAGCAAACAAGGAGAGAGTTCTACCCCCCATAATAGAATATTACAGGAGCAACTTACTACCCCAAAAGAAAAGATGTTGGGAATTTAAGAAGAAAAAAAGGGGGGGATGGACTGTTTAAGATAAAATTGTTACAGTAGGCTAAGTATCATTTAAAATGGAATTTAATGAAATTTAGTGAGACTTAATGATATAGAACCTAGGAGAAACTGAAACGTAAAATCAAATGTTAAGAGATATATATATTACAAGGTAGATATTAAAGCGGGGAGGAGGGAGAACTTCTTGAGTTGGAATTGCTACAGCAGGGCAAATGATATTTAAAATGGAATATAAGGATGTGTAATGAGATTCAAGGATATGAAACTTAAGAGAAATAAATAAATGTTACAAAATAGTTTTTATTTTTTAATTTTAGAAAAGCTCAGAACCTTGTAATGTGATTTAGTATGGCTAAATTTAAAGATCGAAGAAATATGTGTTATAAGATATTTGTATGCATCTTAAAGATAAGTGTTATCAGTATTTATATAGAATTTTTTATTAAAAATGTGAAGCTGAATTTAGTAAAAGGTAAAGAGTTCTACTCCCATATTGAAATTTTACAGGAACAATCCTCAGTTATAGAAAACAAAATGCTGGGAATGCAAGAAGGAGGAAAAAAGGGGGGAGGGAGAACTATTTAAGGTGGAATGGCTACAGCAGGGCAAGTTATATTTTAAATTGGAGTTAAGGAGATTTAATGAGATTTAAGGATATAAAATTTAAAAGAAATTGTGTTCAAATTTAAATGTAAAAAAAATAAGTGGTACAAGGTAGTTTTTATATGTAATTTTGGGAAAGCTCAAAACCTTAAAATGTGACTTAAAACAAATCTTAGTAACAGCTGTATGGAATTTAGTATGGCTGTAGGAAAAGATAAAAATTATCAGCACTTGTATGGAAATTTTTCTAAGAAATGCGAAGTTGAATTTAGTATTACGTATGTTTTTCCTTTGGGGTTAATATATCATTTTTAGAATGCCTTGGTTATAGAATGGCTATGTATAATCAGTAGGACATTATCCATAATTATATGAGTAAGGATTGTTTTTGTAACTATAAAAAATTTGAATACAAGAATCCATAGATATGAAATTAACACAATTGAAACGATTATTAAAAAAAGTACTAAGGTAATAAGATTGTATCAGTATTTGTATGAAAACTTTTATAAGGAATGTGAAGTTGAATTTAATATTAGGTATCTCCTTTTCCCTAAGGGTTAATATATAATCTTTAGAATTCTTCAGTTATAGAATGGCTATTTATAAGCAGTAGGATATTAAGGATCCATAATTATATGAGTAAAGACTGGTTTTGTAGTAAAAGATTAAGAGATTTTAAAAGATTTGACTGAGAATCCATAGATATGAAATTAATACAATTGAAACACGATTATAAAAAAGTATCAAGGTAATAAGATGGTATAAACTTCCTCTAAGAAGTTCCAGAATGCTTTTGTGATGTAAAGGCAATAACTTGGTTTTTTGCAGATATCAAGAAATGTATGGATTTAAGTGACCAGATTTAACACAAAGAATTTCTTGATTGTATAAGTAGAATTCTTAATGTAATGTAACAGAGTCTGTAGAAGTAATTGTAAGCACTTTCTTTTTTCCACTTTGTATCCCCCCATTCCCTACCTTCCTTCCTTTTTAAAAAAATCAATAAAAACTTTAATTATTTTTAAAAAGGAAGACCAGGGCTGCTATGCAGAGGATGGCAATGGCAAAGCCACCTCTGGACATTTCCTGCCCTGTAAACCCCATGATTTCCTGCCAACCTAGCAGTTCGAAACCAAGAAATTGCAAGTAGATAAATAGGTACCACTTCGGTGGGAAGGTAACAGGGTTCCATGCGCCTTGGTGTTTAGTCATGCCGGCCACATGACCACGGAAACGCCTTCGGACAGCGCTGGCTCTTCGGCTTTGAAACAGAGATGAGCACCGCAACCCTAGAGTCGGACTCGACTGGCTTTTGAGCAAGGGAACCTTTACCTTTACCTTAAACCCCATGAAGGGTCTCCATGTGGGTTGCTAGTTGACAGCAAATTATTATTCAGGCTCTGGAGAGGTAGCATATACATTTTCTAGATAAATAAATATTGATTGATAGGATTTTAAACATAAACCACCTACTCTTTCGCTTATGAATATTTATGTACACACAAATAGAAGTGTCTGAACTTGTATCCTAGTATCTTACATATTTGTGGCACAATACAGAGTAATGCTGTGGTATACGTGCTTATCTTTTATTTACTCTGTTATCAAAATCCATCTTTCTGCCTCTTAGCAGCTAGCTAGTGCACAAGTATTTTCTAGAGGAATTTACATGGTACTTTTTTAGATTCAAGAGTACAGAGGAATATAGGCCTTCTGTATAATGCCCCCCCCGACATAGATGTATATTTGACCAAGACGATAGGTGTGTGTTTAGTCTACCTAAAGTTTCTAGCCAAAAAAAATTTAGAAGTATTTTTTAAATTAATTAGTTGCCCTAGTTAACATAGGCAGGAGTTTATGGCTTATCCGATTACTAGAGCGCCATAGCAAGAAGCTGTTGAAAATCTAAAAGTCCTTTTCGTCTCTTAGATGCAGGATGCAATTGGAATTCAGGGAGCATAGTTTTTGCTTGCCCCAGGCTGAAGAATTCTTGAATCATCCATGACTATATTTTTTATGAAACATACTTGGAAACTAGCCAGAGGGCACAAAATTATTCAGGAAGATAGACTTAAGGGATTGAGTTTATTCTTCAGTTTGAAAGTTTTTACATAGAGGTTACAGAAGGAAATGACTGATACTAAAGTTGAGCAGTTCCCAAAGGTCCCCTTATGAAGAACTGAAGAACCTGAAACATTCCTCAGAGCTAGCTCCCCTGCCATGACAGAAGCAGTATTCTGTCCCTGGGTAAGGTAGCTGAAAATGCAGAAATGGATCAGGGAAGAGGAATTGAAACACTTGGTACATTTTGAGTGCCATCTTAAGCAGAGTGATACCCTTCTTAGTCCATTGAAGTCAACTCTGCTCGGATTGGCATTGCTAGTTCAAATGCATATGGACACAATATTGAGGCTTCTTCAGATGTATATATGTAAGAACAAGGATTGTGTTATCCCATGCTTCTGCCCATAGCTTTGTACTGGTTACAGCTTTGTCCGTGATCAAAAGCAAATACGGGAGCAGTAGCTTAAAAGTTTTAATTTAAGCAAGTAAAAAATCTCAGGGAATGAGCCAGGTCTGAAGAGTCACCTTCCCTCCTAGCTTGCATTGGTTTAGCTGCTGTGATGTCAAAGAAGGGCTTTAATACTATATGAAAAAAAGATGACTGCTTAGGAATAATGAGACTATGTGCACCTTCCCAGCCAGACAGCTACAGAGATGCTAAATGACAGATGTGAATTTATACCATGGGACTTCAAATTACACCTTAGTGGTGCAGTTTGGTTAATGGTTTTTAAGCAGTTTGCTGGGATCAGGAATGACAGTTGCTCTTCATGTATGTAACTATATTATTTGCATTGTTTACTGTAACTCTGCTTTACCATTGCAGATTTACAGTTTTATTGTTGATCCGTACCTCTTCTTAGCAATTGAAGCAATACTAGCTAATTTGTCATAGTTATTTAATCAAAACCACCCACATCTATTTTAAATTAATTAAAAGCAGTTAACAACCTTATTGATTTTGGGCAGTGTAGGAGTACATAAAACTAGAACTGCATTTCTGGAAATTGTTTATTTGCTCAACCACTTTGTCTGTTCATTCCTGGACCATGTTCCCTGTTGCTTACAGTTATCAGTGAAGAATGGCTATATGTGTGTCTATGGGAGTGTTCTGTGAAACACATAGATAAGGTATTTTGTAGCGCAGGATACATGCTGTTCTGAGAGAGTAGGCTCATATCAGGGCCTTTCATAGTGGCCATTACCAGATGTGTGCTGCATAACTCCGGAAGTAGAAGTATTTGTCTGTACTCAGCAGAGGCTTTGCTCAGAATGTGGCATTATCCTTTCGCTTCTCAGGATTTTGGCAGTGTTCTTCCATAAAGTAAAGCCAGTCAAATCCGACTCTAGGGATGTGGTGCTCATCTCCGTTTCCAAGCCGAAGAGCCAGCGCTGTCCAAAGACATCTCCATGGTCATGTGGCCAGCATGACTAGACGCTGAGGCGCACGGAACGCTGTTACTCCTGTCCTATTCTGTAGCTAATCTGGTATTAACTGCTGTAAAGAAAACAGTTCTGCTTCTGTATACCTGGCTTCTATGTTTTTGTGAGGAAATAGCAAGTGCTTGCTTCTGTGTCTCAGTTGTGTCTTTGGTGCTGCTTTGGTCTGTGTTGCATCTTAGCACCTGCAGTCCTATTAAGACCAGAATGTTTCCTACATTGGAATGTGAGGTGGCATGGTATAGTCTTGGAAACGAAGCAGGGCTGGTACTTGATGGGAAACCACCATGAACAACTCTGCAGAGGAAGGCAATGGCAAGCCACCTCTGCGTCTCACTTGCCTTGAAAGCTCCTTGCTGGGATTGCCATAAATTGGTTGTGACTTCACGGCACTTATGTATTTATGTACTTCCATGTTGAACTCAGCAGCCAATTCTGTGGCTGTATCCTTCTAGTTACAAATAATTTGGTAGATTATCATTTCACTTAAAATATTTTGAAGCTATTGAACTATGTGATCACGCTTCACATTGTGATTATAAAATTGGGGATATTCATATTTTCATTTAGATGATAGTGTTTGTATTTATTTCCTAGTGTCAAATCAATAGTGCCTTGACCTCCTTTCACACTGCTTTGGAATTTGCGACTGATCAGAGGGAGATTCAACATGTCTGCCTATATGAAATTGGTATGTAGTGATATTGATACACATTTGTCTGTCTAATATTGTTGCAGCTAATATGTAGAAGAATAGAGTTGAGTTTGCCAGCAAGAAGCTTTCATTAATTTAGTATAGTAATAATATAGTATATATAATGTAGTATATATAATAAAGGAATGTTGTTTATATTATATAATGCATACTATATAATAATATAGTATAGTAATATAGTATCGGAAGCATCCTGTTATTATTGCATCGCTAATGGTTAGTGTATAATCAGATGGAAGATTTCACAAATTATTGGTCTTCAAAGTTTGATCACTGAAACTCAAAGTTATTTTGAAATACATGTTCATTGTCTTCATTAGCACCTTACAAAAATAAAAAGATAAGTCTTAGATAGGGGGTGATTGAGTACAAAAGTAATCAGGCATAGGCACTTTGCCATAGAGACATTTTGTTTTCTCCCAGGTAAACATGCTTTGGGATTTGCATCTTTTGTAAACTAAAAGCACATTTTATTCCTCACTTTTGAAAGTGTCCCAATAGATACAGTTCAGAGCCTAGTTTCTGATTCTTTTTTATCCCGTAAAATATATTTCTACTGGTTCTTAATCATTTCACTTAAAAGAAAGTAAAGTGATAAGTTTTATATAATTAGTCCTTTGATGATACTGTTGATACTAACTCTTCTCCCAAGTTTTGCTGAAGCTTTCAGACAAAATAAAAATACAGATTTTACTTAAAGTAGTGATCAGCAATGTACTGGCAGCAAAGCTTTCCGCTTCTGACATTCCTGTCCATGACTTGAAATGGCCCGTACACCCAAGAGATCAGGCTGCATTCAACTGTGAATCACTGGCAGATCTACATCCCTTCCAGATATCCATCCCTTATTTTAGGTGTACTGGAGCTTTGCTGTATGAGATCCATTTCCTTTCTTTATTATTTTTAAAATGTTCCTTGTATTTGCAGGCTGGTGTAGCATGATAGAAATGAATTTCAAGGATGCATTTGAGTCCTTTGAGCGTCTTAAAAATGAATCAAGATGGTCCCAGTGCTACTATGCCTATTTAACAGCAGGGAAGTATCATTATGTGAATATAATTTGTGTGAGTGTGTGTGTGATAAATGCATGATTGGTGTATGGTGGCAGTACATGTTTGCATGAAAGGTACCCACATGTTTACTGCCCTGCCTTTTGGTTTACATATTATAAATTTGAGCTTTAACATCTATAGCCATATAAATTATAATAGAAATGTGCACAACTATGGTGTGTGTGTGTGTGTGTGTGTGTGTGTGTGTGTGTGAATATTTTCTATTGGTAATTGAATTATCATAGAATTAAGGGCTATAATTTTAAGGATTACTGAAGTGACTGTGCTAAGTTAGTCCAGAGCAGCCTTGTGGACCAGGATCCAAAAAACTAGTTGGGCTGAGCGTGGAAGCCTTTCTGCATATGTTGGAATCGTGACCACTTTTTTGTTGTTGTTCTCTGAAAATCATGTGTGTGCGTGTGTGCAACACATGCTTACTACAGTTCTTTATCATAAATTACTCTTGAAAGTTCCCTGGTTTCAAAAGCACTTTGTTATGTGACATGTGGGAAACATGGATATAAGTTGCCCTGGATATATGGAGTTAGTAGCCCAGCTTTTCAGATCCTGGTCATATAGTTCAAACTAGTTTCAGAGACTGATTTGCAATATATGGGCTGCTGCTTATATCCTATTTACTGCAAAGAAAGCCAAATGTGTTAAGATTTCGCCACAGTATTCTGCTTGCATGATGTCTTCTGTCTGCATTTCCTTGCTAAGCTCATTAGAAGGAAAAAATGTTTTTTTGCTTTATTACAGTGTGTCAAGGAGCTACCGGTGATGTGAATGGTGCACAAAATGTATTCAAGGAAGTCCAGAAGCTCTTTAAAAGAAAAAACAATCAAATCGAGCAGTTTTCGGTCAAAAAGGTCTGGCTAGCATTGGATGATTTCCTCCATGGGTTATAACTGCTATCTGTATTCCATTGTTTTAAATGTTGGGTTCTAAGCATGGTTGTTTGTACAACAATTCTTTTCTCTTGTATGCTTGACTGACCCAGCCCTGTTCATACAAGCATTCCTGTTCCTAGTATAAGTGAGAGGCGACTTTCACGGTCTTGTACATATGTGCTGTCACCCCTCTTTCCTAGAAATGACAAAACGAAAATGAAATGAGTTCACTGTTGTGTTGGCTCATGCACATCTTCCCTGTGAGAGGCAAGATTGGGCATGATGGTGCATCTCTTACCCCTTCCAGTGTGGACCAGGATGATTGTCGGGAAAAGGGCTTTCTAGTAGAAATAATTCCACTGGAGCAACTGAATAATATATAGTTGTTTGTGAATAGTAACATTCTCAGGAGAAAATCAGATCTCTGTGTTACGTTGGCGGCATGCATTCCCATGTCCATTGTTGTGGTGTTGAACTGTCTGTAGGTTGATCCTGTGAACTTAATGCCAGAAATGTTTTTAATCTTGCTGCTATCTGAAAGGCCCCTTGGGGAACTGTGGGCAGTAACTCCAAGAATTTCCTTTAGGTTTGCCAGTTCTGGACTGGGAAATACCTGGAGATTTTGGGCGTGTAGCCTGAGGAGGGCGGGGTTTGGGGAGGGGGGGGACCTCAGTGGGCCACAGATTCCACCTTCCAAAGTGGCTGTTTTTTCTCTGGTGTACTGATCTCTGTCAGCTGGAGATCAGTTGTAATCCCAGGAGATCTCTGTCAGGTCCCCAGCTAAGTCACTCTCCACACACACTATTGGCAGTGAAATGGTTATTAGAGATATGCTTGCTGTAGGTTCAAGAGCTTTTGTTAGGACTGAAGAAAACTGTGGGAACTTACAGGTTATAGGTAAAAGCATAAAATTCCACATTCACTCACGTCACAACTACCCCCTAGCATTTCTCTGGCAACACCGACAGATATATGGCGTCCTATCTAACCTGGGCATGGTACCAATGTTCACCAAGGTCAGTCCCATGAGAACCAACACTTGGGGCACAACTTCAGGAATAATTATGGCTTCTACTCCCATGCGCTCTCACAACACCCCCCCCCCCAGGAATTCAACATGACAAGCGAAGGGGAAGAAAAACAGAACTTAAGGAAATGAAAGTTAAACCTGAGTTTGACAATCTCCACCTAACACCTGGAGGTTGGCAAGCCTAGTTTTCCTTCCTGTCTTTGCCTGTCCTAAAACCAGCTCATTTCTGGCAATTAGCAGCTTAACTGGGATGTAGGGAATTAAGCTGAAGTGAGAGATTTAATCGCTGGTGAGCTATGAGTTTGGATTTGGCCCACGGCCTGCCTAACTGGTTGGAAAAGGTATGTCTCCATAAAACTGGTTGTAACTCTGTGGTTAGGAACCTGAAAAAAGGGTGCAGTCAGTAAAAACATTTGCTACATATATACTTTGTTTGGCATAAGAGGTATTGTTTTATTGCAGAATAAGAATTCACAAATATTTTTGGTTAAGCAATGCTCTGTAACACTATATAAAAAGCCATCTATCTCCTTGTGTATATTTACTTTAACTCTGTGGGGTTTGCCTTCCGTGTACACAAATAGGAAAGCTATGTGTATGCAGACTGAAGAACTTTTGTATTTACAGTCATTACATGTTAAGAATCTATCCACAAGTGCTGCATGAATTTCTATGCAAAAGAGCTTTTCAAAAGGGAGTTTGTAATCTGTGAAGAGACCGTCAGTCACAGGATTATCAGACTTTGAGGAGCTTTTAAAATTTCATCCCGAATTGCTGCATGCTTAAACTTTCTCAACTGTACTTCTTGCTGTTGATGTAGGTTGAAATTGAAGTATTTTTTCCTGTTTTCAGGCAGATCGATTCAGGAAACAAAAACCGACCCAGGAGCTCTGTGTACTGGCATCCATTGAAGTGTTGTATTTATGGAAAGCACTTCCAAATTGTTCATTCACCAACCTACAGCACATGAGTCAAGGTACAAGATGGGATTTTTTTTTTAATTGCACACTCTTGTTTCTTCCATAAAACAGCATATTTTTCCATCTCTTTTCTATTAGTAATGTTAGCAATTTGTGCCAGTTTGGAGACCAAAATAAATTTGGTCATCTAATGACTGATATATCAAACTCTTGGTGTAAAAGAATAGCCACTAAAAATTGGTAATATCTTTGACTTTTGGAATGATTTTTTTCTCTCTCATTTGAAATAGTATATTTTAAAAATATTCCTGGCTGTAATGTTACAAAAAAAGGTAGTAGATTGTAGCTAATTATTCTGGTTTGTTTTTTAAAAATACCATTAAGCTTAGATGTGTAAGCGCATACTTTGTGTTTGTAAGCCTGAGCTATTTCAGTGGCCATGATGGACCAAGGTTCCAAGAATAAGTGGTGACTCTCAGGTCTTTGCATACTTCCCTGGTTAACAGCAGTTGAAACTTATCCATCAGCACTGAATGAACAACAGCTGGCTGCACAGTCTAAACTGGATTGCATGAAGGTTTCTTTATATGTAAAATGTCTCATAAAAGAGCACTGTTGGCTTTGGAAGGAATTGCCTTTGAAACAGGAAGTAGTACTGACACTTTTTAGGGCTCTACTGGCAGCAGGAGCTCATTTGCATATTAGGCCACACACCCTTAGTGTAGCCAGTCCTCCAAGAGCTTACAGTAGCCCCAGTAAGAAGAGCTCTGTAAGCTCTTGGAGGATTGGCTACACTAGGGGTGTGTGGTCTAATATGCAAAGGAGCTCCTGCTACCAGTAGAGCCCTGGCACCTGTGAAAGTTTCCCCAGGCTGACACTGCATGAATGAAAGGGGGGGGAAGAGAAAATATGCTTCTTTGTTGTCATCTGTGAAGGGAGGGGAAGAGAAGAAATGCAGAACATAAGACTGGCACTCTCCTATTTCCCCAGGGAAATGGGAGTAGGGTACATAAAACAGGGATTCTCCCATGGAGTTACAGATATTACGGAAAGGGAGCTGCAGCTAAGCCAAAGGTCTTGTTTGCAGTCCTGCCCTAAATGTTGAAGGAAAGGCACAGGACACATGAAATAATTTCTGCTGGCCCATCTGTAAGTACTAAAAAAGTTGTATTAGTTTGAGTTGCACTAGATTACTCTTCAGGCTTAGGCGTTCAAATGAGAGGACAAAATGTACTTTATCATCACAGAGCTCGCTGTGTAACGCACCAATCTTGGTGCTGATGGTGGCCTAACTTGTGTTGCTCAAGAAGCTTTAAGGCTTAGGAAGGAGAGATGCAGATTCAAAACAGCAGCTGGCATTTGCTTCTAGCTACTTGTGTAAAATGATATTTATGTGAATAACAAATGTATAGCTTCTGGACTTTTTTGCTCTTATGGGCTATATTTAATCCCTGAGCAATTGCCTCTAGGTTTGGAGAAGTCACCCAAAAGTAACTTTTGAAAATGTTTTCATTGATTTCTCTGTGCCATTTGTGACATACACAATACCATGATACTGTGTTGCATGGCTTCTGTTGCACAACATCATTATTTCCCTATTGGTAACTTTAAAAATTTTATATAGTTCTTTTATGTTTTGTGTTACTGAATTCTCCAACTTCATGAACATAAGGACTGCTGTGTTTTTTTGCTGCTCTCATTCGTACTGGAACATGTATATTCCAGCTATTTTCTTCAGTATACTTCACCTGACTCTCTTGTTTATTTTAATGCTCATTGTAGTGGTTCACTCCCGTGAGCTGCATGATACTGAACTCATGGGAGATAGAACAAAGTTTGAGTCCAGTGGCACCTTTAAGAGCAACAAAGTTTAATACCCAGAATTAAACTTTGTTGGTCTTAAAGGTGCCACTGGACTCTGTTGCTTCAGACCAACATGGCTACTCACCTGAATCTATTTTCATGGGAGATAGTAAATTGATTTTCATGAGAGGAATACTCCAGAACTTGAAATCTCTTCTCCATAGGTGTTGACTTGTCTCTTCTATGAGAGTCTGTGATTTTTCACTGCTGACCATCAGCATGCTCATTTAGATGCACAAGAAAGTCATCTTGTGTATACTGATTCTTAAATAACTACACCAAACTGGCTCTCTCACCAAACTGGCTCTTTTGCCAATCAGTTACCATGAAGAGTTTGTCAGTCAAGAAACTGGATCTGCACACAGCAAATAAGAGCTGGAAGACGATGACTTCATGTTCTTCTTTCTGGCCTAGGATGAACATGGGGAAATGTCTACAGATTGCTTACTTGCTTAGGCTAATGTTGATTTAAGGATCATTTTATTAAAGGGAGGAGGGTTAGGGACAGGGAGGTTATAATGTGTGTCTTAAAAGCTAAACATTTCAATGTATTCCTTGTCTCACTTTGGTGTCTGTGAAGCTTGCCAAGAAGTTGATGACTCTGCTGTTGTCGGTTTGAAGAACTTGCTACTTGGTGCCATACATAAATGTTTAGGAAATTCTGAAGATGCTGTACAGGTAAGATATTGTAGAAAGCCAAATAATGGAGAAAGGCAGGTGTTAAAATATTTTCATATCACATAAGCCATGTAATTAGCATAGAAACATAATACTAGTGATGCAGCAGATGAGTATTCCAAGTGCTTTCTGAGTAGTCTGGCTTAATTTGTCACTGCTGCATTCCATGTTATAGAAGGTGGAACATCTGGAGAACAAACATCATTGAGTTGCATTTCTAGTACAGTAACCTGTAGTAGATACAGAAGCTTATCAGACCCAAATGAAGAACAGAAAAGTACTGGGTTTCAACTTGTTTTTATAAATGAGAGGATAAGCAGGATTTTCCCCAACTCTATAATACCAGTGCCATTCTGCTGCTTAGATTCTTGAAAATCTTTGCTGCTAAGCATGTTAGCAATGCTGCCCAGTTGCTTTGCTGGTCCAGCTACAGAATTGGGAACTTCCAACACAGGGGCTGCATTCATCCCTAGAATACCTACCATCTGTAGGCCTTTCCCTTGATTTATTTTCCCAGCCCGTTTCCACTATCCCTACTTCTGTCCTTTAAAGCCCACTGTAGCAGCAATGGATTCACCTGGTTATGGAGATCTATGATTGCCAGGCCCTCTTATCCACCCTGGTATTTGGATTTCTGATAGTAGGATTTCTCCTTCTAATGGGAAATAGAAATACTAAAGTGATTTCCTACTGTCCCTTTCAACCCTCTATCAATCCAAAAATATCACGAGAGGGGAGTTGACCTCTGCTTCTTCTGAGATTAATTCTGCCCAGTTAATAACAGTGTAGAATGCTCTCCCTTAGGGGGTGCATTGGGCTCTCTTGCTACTGATTTCTCAAGGTTAAAACTGGTACACAGTGTGGAAAAATTACACTAACAAGAAAATCAACTGTGATCTAAACATGAAGATAAATAATGCCTTGCTGCAAAAATCAGAAAATATGTGCTTTTTTAAATAATTGATCAATAATGTGTACCAGTGTTCCCTCTAAGCTGAGTTAGTGTGAGTTAGCTCACAGTTTTTTAGCCTCCGGCTCACAGATTTTTGCCTTCGCTCAGGAAGGAGGGCTCCAGAGCAAACTAATTCATGCAGTAGCCAAAACGGTCAGTCACGACTTTAATGCCAGGAGCTCACAAAGTAGAATTTTTGCTCACAGGACTCCACAGCTTAGAGGGAACATTGATGTGTACAATCTTTTTTACAGTATATAGTGCCAAAATACAGTATAAAGAATTGAAACGAAGCAAAAAGATGTTAACGACGTGCTCTGGAATGTCCTGTGTAGTTTCGACGTTCCTTCTTCTGAACAAAATTGTATCTATAAATAAACATTTGACAAACATTTGACAATTATTTCTCAATGTTGCTCAAGGATACTTGAAGCCCATGTAACCTAATAAAATGTGAACATACTCCTCATACATACAATTTGTCTCCAGTTCTTGTCTTATCTACAGAGATAGAAATAAAGCCTGACGCTTAAACACTTCCTCTTCATTGATCTACAAGAAATAAATTAACAGACCATCACTAACAAAGTATCATTCTACACTATGTATTATCTAAAGTCTAAAGTTAGCTTACCAAAACACAATTGCGAGTAGAGAATTCATTTCTGGCAAAATACAGTCAAATAGAATGCCTTAACACATTAGTCTTTTTATACATACAGTAGTAGCATCCACATTCTGAAATTACTTACATTAGGGAACTTAGAAAAGACTTATTTATAGATACAATTTTGTTTGGAAGAAGGAACGTTGAAACGACACAGGACATTCTGGAGCACGCCGATAACATCTTTTTGCTTCGTTTCAATTCTTTATACTGTATTTTGGCACTATATACTGTAAAAAAGATTCTTTATACTGTATTTTGGCACTATATACTGTAAAAAAGATTGTACACATTATTGATCAATTATTTAAAAAAGCATATATTTTCTGATTTTTACAGCACAGCATTATGTACATTGTATGCCAGTTGGGTACATTGTACCGCTCTTGTTAGCCGCCCTGAGCCTGTTCACAGGATGGGCGGGGTATAAATATAATAAATAAATAAAATTATTTATCTTAGCGTTTAGATCACAGTTGATTTTTTTGTTAAGGTTAAAACGGGCTGGGGGCTGACTTCTTCTATTTTTAAAATGGTTGCATTTTTTAAAATTATGGAATGTATAGCTGGCTCCTTTTAGCTGGGAAAAGAAAACCCATTCTCCCTAAACTTAAGTAGCATCTGCTAAATGTAGAGGTTTTACAGCTGGTGATTGTGGTATGCCTGATGCGATCTTGTGTGTCCAGTGCAAAAATTTCTTTTGTTCCTGGAAGTGTTGCTGTGTACTGAATTTATTGGTTTTCTTTTACAGTTCTTTCAGCGAGCCCTTAAAGATGAACTGTGCCGCCAGCACAATTTATATATTCAGCCGTACGCGTGCTATGAACTTGGCTGTCTTTTGTTAGAAAACCCACAGGTAACAATTTAGTATATCTGAAACTGCTTGGGATATAGTGTGAGGTGACCGTTACTGGTCTGTAAGTTTGGCACATTTTCAGTTGATCTGTACTGTATACCCCCCCCCCTTTTTGCTTTGCAAGCGTGTTCATGTGTCTGTGTTAAGCGCAGTATACTAATCTTGCACATTGCCGTGATGAATTCCTGAGTAGCAAATGGCACCTCAGAACATGAAAAATGCACAATTTCTCATCAAACCATATGGATTGGATTCTATATACCTACAACTTATTAGCGTGCATGTCCCATTATCAGGAAAATCCAAGTCCATCTGATAATATCTGGTAGTTCAGTGTGTGCCGTGTTGTAACTAGATTGCAATTCAGCATTTTGCAAACACATGACATTGCACTGCTTGTGCTAATGGACATGATCAGATGGACAGAGATATTACTATACCATCCCTAGTTTATCATCTGTCCATTCCTTTTGTTAAAACTGCACATGCTATATGTGCTTATCTCTTCTACAAAGTCCACAGTGCTAGACTATGTGAACATTTGAGGCCCAGATCCAAAGTACTGCACATCCAATAATAATGTACTGATGTGAGGTTCTATGCAGAAGAGCTAATTTTAATTGGGTTGCCATGCCTCATGGTGCTAGCATGCCAGAATTCATAACTCAGGTGGATACTGTGCTAGCATACTAAGTCTGCACCTACAGGGGTCAGTGATACTATTTTAGGGTAACACAGGCCATGTTGCACCTCTCTCTCGTTTTTGTTGCTTATAATTCTTTGTGTGTGGTTTGGGCTTCTTTTTTCTCTACCTACCCACCCTTTTATATGAGAAGAAATAGATTTTGCTTTTCATGGGGGGTTGTTGTTGTTCAGTTGCACAGTCGAGTCTGACTCTTTGCGACCCCATGGACCACATCACGCCAGGCCCTCCTGTCTTCCATCATGCTCTGGAGTTTGCTTAATTTCATGTTCCTTGCCTCAGTAACACTGTATAACCATCTCATCCTTTGCCGTCCCCTTCTTCTTTTTCCTTCAATCTTTCCCAATCTTTCCTTCAATCTTTCCCAGCATCAGGGTCTCCTCCAGTGAGTGCTCCCTTCTCATTTGGTGGCCAAAGTATTTGAGTTTCAGCTTCAGAATCTGGCCTCCCAGGGAACAGTCAGGGTTAAGAATTCCGTAGAAAAAATGGTGTAGAGGATTCCTCACTTAGTAGAAGAGATCCATTGGATGCAACAAGGGTTTTCAAGTATCCAAAAGGGTGGGTGGGCAGTGTAGCATATGAAATTGACCAAGAGAGTACCTAAACCTCCAGAAATCCTTAGAAAGTGGCTAAAAATGAGATTTCTAAATAATAATAATAATAATAATAATAATAATAATAATAATAATAATAATAATAATAATAATAATAATAATAATAATAATTAATAATAATAATAATAATAAGGTTGCAATATTCAGTTCATTTCAAATGGATATGAGTATACATAATAGGGTATAGTGTTGAAGTCTGGAATTCTTGTCTTACACCAGAAACTTAAACCTCCTATTTTGGGTATTGCAATTATCTTTTTTCCTCTATCTTTTTGTGCAGCTTTTCCCTGTTCATTAATCCTTATATTGTTAGAACTCTAATTCTTATTAAACCATTACCTTGAAATGCTTTTAGTATGAGCATACAAATTTCTGAAATTGTATTTTTCTTTTTGCAGACTGTGCCAAAAGGCAAATCCTTATTGCTTCAGGCCAAGGTAAAAATATAAAAGGCATTGTTTTATGCTTTTATAAAATTCAGCTTTATCTCTCAATTTACACTCTGCTTCTGTGATTTAATATAATTCAACTCAGTATAACTTTTTTTCACTTATTCTGTGAATGTTAGTGTTTTGTGGATCTTTAGAGTGAGTTTCATTCTGAAGTCCTTCATAGTCCAGGTCTTAGTGTGTAATGAGTGTGGTTTCGTCAGAAACTAAAGGAAGCTAATACTCTGTCTGATTGTGTGTAACAGCCTACATTTTATCACGGAAGGTTTTCAACTTTTATTTAAACTTTTGCTGTCTTCAAAAATAATGTCAAATGCCATCTTTCATAAATTATTCTCTGGTCACAACACATAGGAGATTAACATATTGATTTTTTTTTTTGTCAATTACAGGAGGAATTCACAGGGTATGACTTTGAGAACAGATTGCATGTCCGCATACATGCAGCATTGGCCTCACTGAGGGAAGTGGTTCCTCAGTGATGGATAGGAAGCCTTCTGTCCTCACAGTTTCTGCACTCTAAGACAACTCAGAGAACAAAGCTGTTGGAAAGACCAACTTCTCTTCTGGAAGACCACCTGTGCCAGAGACATTTTCTACAACACGTAGAGTTGGTGACGGAAAAATGTTGAAGTCTTTAACGATCAAAATTAGGCTGAAAGGTCAACTGACCTTGGGCTCAGTCCATTAGGAATTTCTCCTGAGTAAGCCCTGTGAAAAGAATGGAAGTTGAAATTTGGGCTGCTGCCCAGCATCTGTGGTTCAGTGGGGCTTGTGCAGAAGAACTGCCTAGAACACTGTCCTGGTGTTCCGATGCTTTGTGGGTTGGTTTTTTGATTTTGATTTTAGCCAAGCTGAACATAGTAGCCTGTGATTGTACAGATGAGCCTACAGTAAGCACATGTTGATTTCCTGTAACCAAGGTGGCTCAGTTTCTGCAAGTCAGGTCTTCTTTCTGTTTAAATAGATGTACATGGTCTTTTGTAGGGGGAGAGCCACCTGTTCATGAAAAAGTACTGTATATAGGCAGAAATATGTATAATTTTATTGGAAAACCCTGTCCAAGTGGAGCTGGGAAGGAAAAAGTGGCTTGTTGCAGCACAACAACCCCCTTCCTGTACATTTATTTGCTCATCCAAATGTGTGTGAATAATGAAACTCTGTATTTAGATAAATAATGAGAATATCTAGAAACTGTTTTATTTTTCAGACAAATATTTATTTTCACCCCTTTGTTACTGTGTTTTTGAACAGTATGGTAGCCTCTTAGCCTTGCTGTTACAAGGTGCTGACAGGTTCTTTCACTTTTATTTCTAAAGCCTATGAATAAAGCAGTAACCTTTTAAACATAACACTTAAGATCCTATATTTGTGCCAGACTGATATACTAAATATGACCATCAACATGCCATGGGGCATTCCAAGCCTGTGGTGTTGCCGTAGCCTTCCTATCCCAGTCAGCTTTAGAGCTTTGAAGTAGTATGTAACTTTCCTAATTTTTTTGTCTCTGTAAGTACATTATTTTAATATTTTTATTTAGAGCAGGTATGTGTGAGCAAACAATTCTTAGGGTAATACTTTTTCCAGAGTACTTGAGAATTGTATAACGTGAAGATAAAATAGGGTTTATTTTTCCTGATAAAGTAATAAAGTTTTGCTTTCTCACTCTGTCTCTCCTGAAATCTATAAATTTCAGTTTTGAATCTCTAAAATGTTACATTTTGTGTGCACTTAATACTAATTGGCTGAGCTGACTTCAAGAGATTCATGGAATGTAGATAGCAGAAGTTTGGTTGTGAGTCAAAGCGGAACAGGTTTCCAAAGCACACATGAAGCTATGTATAAACTGGGTTTCCCGCTTTACCTCAGGATGGGGGAATGCTTTTGTACAGCATAGCACATGAAAAATGTTTCCTGATGTTGCAATTAGTGGGCCAAGTCCTCTGCACATACTTTGGAATCACTGATTATACACTGCTGTCCTTTTACTCCCTATTTAGTAACAAGCACTCTGTGGCAGCTAAATCTTCATTTTGTTGCATTCTAAGAAAGAGGTTGAATATTAGGAGGCATAACACACAGCTTTAATTTATTGTCACAGTATACATGATGAATGCATTTTCTTTAAGCCTGATTTAATAACCTGGAGTCATTCAGTAGTTTGTTTGGAGGATATTCATCTAAATGGATGCACTGATTGACTGCTTCCCACTTTTTTTGCATTTTGACTGCTTCCCACTTTTTTTGCATTTGATAGATATGGGATGTTGGCTCATGTTGGCTTAAGCTTGAAAACATGGCGTGCAGAGCATTATGTGTGTTTCAATTGCCCACAATTGCAGAATTTGAAGACCCATTTCTGGGCTTTCAGAGTTGAAGGGTCTGTCAGGAGATTCTCTTTAAAACACATTTTCTTGTATATACAAACCAGGGTTTGTAAAAACTGGGGAATGGAGAGTCAACAATATCAGTGTTATTGCAGGAGTCTCCTGTTGCAATGTAACCCTACTGTTTCACTTCTGGTAGCTACAGCAGATATTAAAATGGACAGAGAAGAACATGACAGCAAGCCCCCCCTTTCCCCATCTGTTCCCCCTGAATGGGTATTTCTGGGGCACAATATTAAAATTGCCAATCTCTGTTAGAGGGACCAAAACGACCAGAGACTAACCAGCATCTGCAGAATGAAGTAAGGAAAATGCTCTTTGTACAGCTATGGGGGGGATTGTGTTGTATCTTTATGTGAAAAAATATATATCCCCAAATTGTAATCAACAGTAATATACTTGAACTAGTTTTATGCTACGGTTTCTTATGGGTTCAAATAACTTCACCCTCTTTCTTTCTTCATACTCAAGCTGCTAAGTTAAAAACAGATCAGCATCATTGACCACAATAGAACTAAGCTATCTTCCCCTTATGCCTGCTTTGATGACTTGTGGATGACACAAAACTATACCTGTGACTGAGGCTCTTGAAGTTACAAAACTCTTGTAGTGGGATGGTGGGGCCATTGATGGTTCTCCCTATAATTTTAAGATAACAATCCTATTCCTATCACCAAGTCTGTTTTGCATTATTTCATTTGTCTTGCAAGCAGAAGAACCTCTCATTGTGCACAGGCAACTGCTCAATGCCAGACCCATCAGTGTGTTTTCCCCTCTCCCACCTGTATCATGTACACCTCATAGAAGAAACCTCTATCTTGTAAATGGCAAAGGTATTTTTATATTAGATTATGCCAGTGATGAGAAAAATCCCAGCTGTATTTTGTGTAATCTGAATATGTTTTTTATACTTTGTAGCTCGGAGGCATAGTCTAATTGCAATAATGAAGTAAGCATCTAATTGGTTAATATATATATAAAAAGTTTACTGAGTCAGGTATATTTTTTCGTTGTTGATACCTTTGATTATATTATGAATTTAATTGAATAATTTGTATTTTTACATGTCATTTTAGATTGTTTACTGTGGTATGCTACAAATGCCATTAATGATCAGAATGTGTATTTTTTAATTTTTTGCTGAGTAAACAGAAAAGGCTGGATTTTTCTTTTGCTCTTTGTAATCGTCTCTCCATTAACTTTCTGTTTAAAAAGCTGTCACGTTTTCCAAGGATTCCTAGATGTTTATCAAAGTGGGCTGTCATTTATGGCCACATCAGGCACCACTCAGGAGATGCATGGACTGTCTTCCACTGGTTTCTGATTTTATTTTATTGCTGCAGCAGAAGGCTAGTCAAATTTGGTCAGAGTGGCATGTGGGTGTCCTTAATCCTTTCCGTGTGGGCAATTTATACGCTGCTGGTTGTTTTAATCAGCCCAGGAAGAAAAATGTCGGCCTAATATTTTTCTCTCCCATGATTAGGAAAAGAACTGGGTGAGGGGAAGCTGATTAGAAAACCAGCCCATAGCAAAAGGGATAAGTTGCACCAACACACCGGTCAGATTTGCCAGTCTAAGTAAAAACAAAAACCACTGGCACACGTGCTCCATGTATCTCTTGAGGAACATCTAATTTGGTTCTCAGATAGTGAACTTGTGCCTGGAATGTCAGTGACACACCTGCACTCCAGTGGTTGGCTGCCTCACAGAATACACGGAAACGGGAGGCTGATCCTTCCCTACTACCATGGCCACATATGTTGTGGGGAAATCCAGCCATTTAAATGTGCATGCAGTTTTCAGATGTGTGTATTTGTGTCTGAATATGAGTACAAGTACAAAAAGCAGCCTATGAATTGGCCCTCAGTTATAGCTTGGACAAGAGTGTCTCACATGTACCTCAAAGACCTTCATTCTATTTTTCCCGTGTAAAAGCTGTACTTGTTCTTTTGTTTTAAAAAATGTTTTTTGCTCCCTCCAAAGCAAACTCTCTTTTATTCCTCCACAACACTAAATGCTAATTTCTCATTCTATTTGCCTTTGGTTTTAAATAAAATCTGTAGTACCTTGTTCTGACTTGGCCTCTCTGCTTCTGAGAAAAACATCCTGATATGTCTTTAAATACCTGTGTATGTTGAACCAGTATTTTAGCAGACAAACTGCTAGATCAAGAAGGCTGGAAAAAATTATCTTAGTAGGAGTTTGCCACTTGTTCTGTGAGTGCTATTTAAGTTTTTAAGAAGAAGAAAAGATTGGATTTATATCCCACCCTTCACTCGGAGTCTCAGAGCAGTTTACAAACTCCTTTCCCTCCCCCACCTCACAACAGACACTCTGTGAAGTAGGGGGGGCGGAGAGAGCTCATCCGAGAACTGCTCTTTCAAGAACTGCTCTGAAAAAACTATGGCTTGTCCAAGGTCATCCAGCAGCTGCAAGTGGAGGAGTGGGGAATCAAACCCGGTTCTAGATAAGAGTCCATGCACTTAACCACTACACCAAACTGTAGGGTGTAGATCCATGAACTGATAAATAAAAACTGGACATTAATAAATCAGACTTGGAGATAAAAATATAAAAAGCTTCTCAGCTCCAAAGATGGGAAAATTCAGGAGGTGAAATTTTGGAATAGGCAGTATACTGGATTTATTACAGTGTAAGATACACTGAAGAATGGTGTATAGATCTGTATTTTAAGGCTCAAAAATGGCTCAGGAATGGTACCCTCTCCTTTACTGTTGGATTATTGCAAATTACAAACAAGTATGACACCAATTAACATTTCTTTGGGGATTAGTTGGGACTCGGGAGATTGGTTTTTTAAGGTATGGCTGCCTGCTGTGCTCAGCTTTAGGAAGGAATTCAACCTCTACAATTGGCTCCAGACCCTGAGCTTGCTTTGTCCTATTTACATGTTACTTGGCTTGCTTGCTTGTTCTATTGTGGGCTGTATATCATAGGTAGATCTGTGAGGAGCTAATGAATGGATGATCCAGCCTTTGTGCATTGGACATGAGCCAGCCAATGTTCTATTGCCTTAACTGGTAGAGATGGGAAATGTATCTCTTTATCGTTTAAATTAATTCGATAGAAGCTTTTTCAAAGGATGGATCGTGCCGCACCCCTGTGTACGCTTTTCTGCAAGGTTGGACCCACGTGTCTGCTCGCGTGAGCAAAGCCCGCTGAGTGGCTAAACCCCCCCCCGCGCTTTCTTTGGTGTCACTCCTCCCGATAGTATAACACGGGCTTTGTGACTTCATAAATATCAGCGCTCTAGCCCCGCCCCGCGCGACTCCTCCGAGATAAAAGCCCGTCACGCTCCTCCGTCACTCCAGAGGAGGCTCCGGCAAGGGGCGAGGAAGGAGCTTCGGCGCAGCCTAGTAGCTAAAGAAAAGGTTGGGGCGCTTTCAGAGCGACGGCGAGGGCAGCGAATCCGATAGGGTGGAGCGTTCCCTTGTGGCCGAGGGCGGGAAGGTCTTGGGGATGGTGGTTGAAGGGGGAGAAAGTCGAGTAACGGAAGCCGTCTCCCTGCCCCGGGCTGGCAAATGTAATCAAAGGGGAGCGGCTTACGAAGGCTGCCTGTGGGACAGCAGAAGGGGTTGCCCTTGCTAAGATGGCATCGCGCCTGTGTGCAAGGAGGTCTCAGGCGGCATAAAGTGAAGGGCATCCTCCCCCCCCACCCATGTCTTACTGGCAGGTTCCGGTCTGTCCCTGGCCCACGACAATGGGGTGGGGGCATGGGAAGAGATACTTACATGAGACTTTAAAATGATCACCTCCCCTAGCCGAAAAGCTGCTTCCATCGTGAGGTAATTGAGACTGGCAAATAGCTTAGTAAATCACAGCATTCCAGGAATGATAGTTCAATGAGCAAAATATGGTGAAGGAGTTTTACTTGCCCTGGGCTGTGGCAAAAAGGATTTAGTCACATCAGAGAACTGAACATGCTTTGAAGCAAGTTTGTATCAGTATGAAAGGGCACATGTCTTCCTGCATCAGATCAGGTCTCTTGCGGAGTCTCTTGCTGCAGTCATTAAGCACTGAAACCCTTGGCCTTAACATTGTAACAGAACCTTCAGCAAAATGTACAAATATAGAACCGAACCACAGATTTAGGAAACCAGGACAAAGGGATGGGTGCATTAGCTCAGTCAAAGCTTTAATGTCATGGTAGATACATATTTTCCAGACTCTTTATGCCTGTCTCATTTCAAGACTTAAGAGTCTTCAAGCTGTTAGCAGGTCCCAAATCCTTACTTTTGTGTGTTCTGGGCTTTTTCATTCTTTGGAACTGATGACTGACAAGCGTCATTTTAAGCAGAGTTACACCTTTCTCAGCCTGTTGACTTCAGTGGATTTAGATGGGTATAACCAGAGACAGTCTTAGTGATTCTGCGGACCTAAACCAAAGCATCCGGCCCCATCACTCCTTGGCAAATAGAAGGGGAAGTCGTGGAAGTAGTGACAGACTTCACGTTCCTGGGATCCCAGATCACTGCAGACTGTGACAGCAGCCATGAAATTAAAAGACGCCTGCTCCTTGGGAGGAAAGTGATGGCGAACCTAAACAGCATGATAAAAAGTAGAGACATCGCCCTGCCAACAAAAGTCCACATAGTCAAAGCAATGGTATTCCCAGTAGTCATGTATGGCTGCGAGAGTTGGACTATAAGAAAGGCCGAGCACTGAAGAATAGATTCTTTTGAACTATGGTGCTGGAGAAGACTCTTGAGAGTCCCTTGGACTGCAAGAAGATCAAATCAGTCAGTCCTAAAAGAAATCAACCCTGACTGTTCCCTTGAAGGCCAGATAATGAAACTGAAGCTCAAATACTTTGGCCACCCAATGAGAAGGGAGCCCTCACTGGAGAAGACCCTCATGCTGGGAAAGATTGAAGGTCAAAGAAGACGGGGACGGCAAAGGATGAGATGGTTGGACAGTGTCATAGATGCAACGAACACGAAATTGAGCCAACTTCAGAGGACGGCAGAAGACAGGAAGGGCTGGCGTGATCTGGTCCATGGGGTCGCGAAGAGTCGGACTCGACTGTGCGACTGAACAACAACAGACCAAAGCCTAGAATGGACCCCCAGAATTCATTGCAACTCTGCCGCTGGCCCTCAGTGCCAAGCATAAAGGTGACTCTGGCTCCGTGCAAAGTAGGTAGGAGCCACTGAAGCCAATGGAAGCTCACCGCCTGAGCCCCAGACAGGGAGGGAGCAAATGGCCACCACTGCAAGCTTGCTGCCTGAGCCCCAGGTGGGAGGGGCACGAGTGGCAGCAGGAGCCTGCTCTTCTTTCCCCTCTCTCCTTTGGGGGGGGCAGGGTTGTTTGGGGCAGCTACCACAGTGACCTCTGTGGAAGAGAGTCAAATTCTGTTTGAAACAGAGGAATGTTTGAGATGAAAACCAAGTTCATGGCTTATGATGAATGGTCCTTAGGGTATGCTAAAATCAGCAGTTCAGTAGTTTTCAGGACCTTTGTTTATTCCCTTAAATTTAAACCATGTAAGGGGAAGTACATGGCAGGGAAAGGAGTGGGATATAAATTGAATAAAATAAATTAATACAATAAATATTGTCTTTAAATATTCACAAGTATTATGCCAAAAAATAAATCACCACAAGTCTTTGAATCTGTTTGAATATAACACTGAAATCACACTTGATTCCCCCCCCCTTAATCAGATATTTCAGTTCAAGTATTTTTGCAATTGGGAATTAAAATTTAACATGAAGTACTCTTTAAATTTTGTATACTCAATATAAATCATAATCAGCATGCTAAAGCTGATCACACACTACTTAGGGCAGCAGAATTTCTTCTGGAAAATGTTCCAATTTTAATGTTGATGGGAAAACCCACACCACTAAGCTCACGGAAATAAATGAGCTTTGACTGCAGTATCTTTGCATAGCATACACTGCTACTGTTAATCCACGATATGTTCTGCCGTCCTCCAAAACCAAGCTCCTATGCAGTTGGCCTTCTGTGTAGGTGGCTGCAGTCTTATAGAGTGCCATTCCTAAGCACAAGTGTAAGCCAGTGTGGTACAGAGATTAAGAGTGTTGGGATAGGATTTGGGAGACTCCAGGTCCCAGCAATGCCATGAAAGCTTGCCAGGTGATCTTGGGACAATCACACGCTTCCTGCCTAACTTTCCTCACGATTGAGAGGATCAAATGGAGGAGAGTGGAATGATGTAATCTGCTTTGGGTACCTATTAGTGAGAGAATGGTGTGTTATAAATGAAGATAAATAGAAATGAAAGAACAGAGTTTACATGCTTCTAAGTTCTCTAAGTCAAGGGGTATAACTGTGCTGGAGGTGTCCCTGATAGTGATAATCATGACTTAACTCTGATGTGCTTAGAATGTACGATTGATCCCAGGCGCAAGGTAAATGACAAAAGTGTTGGGGCTTTTCTTCACTGTTTTTTCTCTCCCTTTGTAGTTTGTGAAATTGCAGTTTTGTCTTCAGTTGGCAATGATGCATACGGGAAAGCCCAGGATGGTTGTTCCTTATGGCCTCAAGACTCTACTGGAGGGAGTGAGCAGAGCAGTTCTCAAAACCAGTCCCAGCAACATCACTGAGTTTGCTGCTCTCTATTTTAGGGAGCTGATAATTTTTCGAGAAGGTTTGCTTTTTTTTTTTTAATGTTAAAATATTTGTTTAGTAGAACATTCATACTTGTTGGGCTATTGGCAGCAATGGAACAATATCTTTGTAAACTTGCTAGCAAACCTGCCCCTTTTATATGATTGAAATCTGGCATCAACAGTTAATTTAATTAGCCTTCTCTGCTTTCCTTACCAGAGCACCCTAATTTGGACATTAAAGATCTGGTTAGAGAATTTCATCTATCTAGAGGTAAGCTACTAAAGGCCTGATTCTTAAAAGATGAGATACTTGAAATCACTTTGTACCAGAAGCTGGTCATCAAAAGGTGTAAAAAGGAGCTGAAGTACTTGGTTGAACTAGTTCTTTATATGATAGAACATTTCAAATAGAGGAAAACAAATCTCTCTCTGTCTTTTTGTCCTACTTACATAGTCCTAGTTTAACTGACTCTGTTCTAGAGAAAGGCCTTTGTCTGGGCAGTTCAGAATGTCACTTGAGACGGCTGCTCTAACACTGCTTCTGATTGGCTCCAGCAAATCTCACAAGAGATCTGGACAACTGAAGCAAGGAAATACATATCTGTAAATATCCTCAAGCATGATTTAACCTCAGTTTTCCCTCATGGTAATTTAGGTTGCAGCCTGGGCCGCCACTGGGCTCCTCTAGACCTCTGGGCCCCAGTAAAGTGTACCCTCCCCCCACCGCCTGCGTGTGAGCACCTGAGGCTGCTGTTCTCCCTCTGGATTCAGCTCCTCTTTCTACACTAGAGGCTGTTTGGCAAGATGTAGGCTCAAGTAGCTGGAATGGGAAAAGAACACTTCAGAAGCTTCTGGCTGTGTGGCCTGCCCCAGCCTCTTTGACCTGAAACCAGGAATCTGTACCTTTTTGATGAACTACAAGAACCTGATTAAACCAGTGCCTGGGTTGGGAGCGGGTAGGATGGGAATCATGCATATAGCCTGCCATTTGTGATGGTGTGCATTATAACCCAGTGTTATAACCCTGAGGCTCTGAGTGAGCTTTGTGGCTGCACATGGGGATTTGAACCAGGGTGTCCACAGGCCTATCTGGGTCCTTAACCATTAGGCAACACTGGTTACCTGGATCAGGCCCCAAAAGTAAGTAAAAAGGTAACCCGAAAGTCATCTGGAAATGCCCTGTACAAAATGGCCGTTGTGCTTCACCAGATTTCTTTGGAAGTAGCAGACTCATTCAGAACCTTGATGACAGTGCTCCTGATGCAAAGATTATTGGGGCCACCTTTTCAGCACCTCTGTTGCAATACAGAGATTCATCATATGCTACTTTTGCTCTGAATTTTAATTGTTTTGGATTCCACTGTAAATGCTCTAGATGATACTTTGATTAGATCAGATTGTATTCCTGAAACTTAAAAGCTTTCTAGTTGCACTTAAGATTTTCAGGCATGAGTCTTCTTGGTAAATGATTCTCAGTAAAGGCAATGGTCCTTGGTAGAGGGCTGCAGACAAGACTGAATCTTTAAACTGCAAGCCTCCAAATACATCTTTCAGCCTCCAAATACATCTGAAAGTATACTCAGACTTGACTTAAACCAAATTCCATTCCCCAAATTTTGATACACACCGCCATAAATGAATACACAGCAGTAGAAGTTTAGCAAGTTCGCATTAGCCCTTGGGTTTTAACTGGTGAGCAACTTACTAGTTTATCAGAATTGCACTCAGATATGAGGCTTTGCTCAAGATAGAGACATAAGAGTTGGAAGGTACCCCAAGGGCCATCTAGTCCAGGCCTCTGTACAATGCAGGAAATTCACAGCTACCTCCACCCCCCCCACACACACTCCCCCAGTGACCCCTAGTCAATGCCCAGAGCAAAGCAAAATGCCTCCAGGACCCCTGGGTCAATCTGGCCTGGTGGAAAATTCCTTCCTGACCCCAAATTGGTGATTGGCATTCCTCAGGACATATAAGAAAGGACCACAAGAGCCAGCAAATTTGGAAAACACAACAGTGGCCACAGGATTGGAAAAGATCAGTATACATTCCAATCCCAAAGAAGGGCAATGCCAAGGAATGTTCAAACTATTGCACAATTGGACTCATTTCACACGCTAGCAAGGTCATACTCAAGATCCTACAAGCTAGGTTTCAACAGTACGTGGATAGAGAACTGCCAGAAGTACAAACCCGACTTTCTAACATGGTTTCTACAGATTAACCATGGTCGAGAAGTTGAATGCAGTGCTATTTATTCATTCTCTGCACAAAGTGTCTTTCTCTGTCCTCCACAACGCCTTTGTTCCCACTTCCTCCCTTTCCTCCTTGCCGGTTTTGCATTCCCTGGCATGAGCAAGGCTCTGCTGCTCCCTTGTACCACAAGAGGTCCTCAGGATGCCTTTAGTTCCAGGCGCTTTGGCTTAGAAGGCCCTTCTCTTTGCCAAGATCTTGCTGTTATGCTCTGGTACACCATAAAATCACAATGCTGAGATTCTCCTAGTCTTTCATCTCCAGAATTGTGTGCAGACAATATTGGTCTTTTAGATACAAAGTCAAACAGATGCTGAAAAAAACCTACAATATATACCATCAGTGCTTAACACAGAAATATGCACCTTATTGGGCTATAGTCTTTAGTTATAATTTCTTCATGAGCAGCTGGCCTGACATTCTCTCACCTGTGAGCAACTTTCGTTTGGGGTTTTCTTGTAGGCCAGAGCATTATGTTTAGAGCATTCTAGCCCTGTTAAGTTACAGTGAACGTACAGGCATCCTTCATGTTTGTGCATACATCTGTTTATAAGAGCCAGGGCACTTCCAGTTTACTAATGAAACCAGGGTCACTCATACGTTCAGCTGTACATGTGTTGAAGGTAACATGATTACTCAACACAGGTATAAAGAAAAACCAAGTGTACACTGTAAACCATTTGTACATGCATTCCCCAATTTGTCAGCAGACCAAACATCTTACCTAGATGCATTTTATAATCACAAAGAAGGAAACTAATATTTCTTCCTTCTTTCTGGCTTCTTCCCCATATGAACACTTTTTCTCCCTGTCTTTAATAACATTGCTTAATGTAATGAATATCTTTGCAGACTGCACTGATATTGGTTTAATGCTATGAAAATGGATATGTGGGCAACAGTACACGAGGAGAGGGCTTTGTGATGAGCAGTTTCAGTGTCCCTGTAGTTGTCTCCCTGGTTTGCCCATTTGCACTAGCTAGCTAGGCCCAATAGAGTTACTATCTTGCTCTGTAGTTTCCCCATTCTGTTGCTGAGTTAAAACACCGGATTACCCCCCCCCCCATCCCAAAACCTTCCATGTGGAAATCAGTTCAGCCTGAGAGCTGGAGGATTCTTTCCATGCTGTTACAGCCTCCAAATGTGTCACCATAGCACAAAGGAACCCCAAATGTGTGTGTGGGGGAGGTAATTAAGAACAGCTGGTTTGTGTATACCACCCCTAAGGTACACAAATTATGTATCTGAGGCTTATGGAAACTGATGGTTGAACAACTGATTTGCCTTGAAGGCATGTATTGAAATGGAAAGGATTCTCTGTGGGACAAACTTGTTTTGATGCTGAGAGATCTGCAAATGTACCTTCCCGGTGTCATTCTAAAGGGAAATTGCCACATGGGAAGGATTTGGATTGGGTCTGAGAGTGGGATAGTCCTTCCCCTGCACAGGATTTTGACAGTTAAGGTAGGTTCCCCACCCCTTGTACTGCTATTAGCAATGAGAGAGGGAAATTTTTGTAGAGAGGGGCCCCGGTCACACGGCAAAGTTGCCACGGGAGAGGCACGGATGGTGGGCGGATTATCCAGGCGCGATCACACCCCAACATATGGGAAGTGGAGCGCACCCGTGGCTTACTGCCGAATTGCGTGTTAAAAAAGTAGTACTTCCAAAGTACTAGTAAACGTTTGCCATGGGCTGCCTCCAGACTCCCGTGGTGTGATTGCGCTGGCGCGCGGCATTCCCCTCTGGTCCCTCGTTTACCTGCCAGCGCCGAGGGAAGGACCCGTAGTGTGCCGCCGGCACTTCTGATCGCGTAATCGCGGATCAAAGTGCGCCGGGGCAATTAGCCAAACCTCCCCCCACGATATCCGGCCCGTGTGACTGGGGCCAGGGTACCTCCCCCCCGCCAATGCCAGGGTGGGGAGTCTGTTTCAATGAGCAAAACTGTGAGAAACGAAGTGATTTAAATAAAAAGTGGTTAGCAATGTATGGTCACTAATGACTAGTTCTGCTGTCTTGCTCACAACTCTTCCTCTCCTGTACTGGAGAGGGTGGTTACAGAAAAGGATGCACTGCATAGAATCTCTGGCTGCATCTACACAGTGCTCTGCACCGAGAAGGCTGCTCATGGGCAGCCATTCCAGAAAACCATTATTTCCCGTTATCACTGCTGCACATTGACAGGAATAGTCTTAGTGATTCTGACATTCTAGGCAAAAGTCCAGGTTGGGCCCCCAGAAACACTGCCACCTTACCACTACCACCCTCACCCACTGAGGCCAAGTGAGGGGCAGCTGTTACCCCATGCAAGGTGGGCAGGAGCCACTGTCAGCCAGCCAGCTGCCTGAGCCCGGACAGGGTGGGTGCAAGTGGATACCAGGACCCTGCTCTTCTTCTTTTCCACCTTCCGGGGGGCGCAGTTGTCCCCCCATTGTGGGGCCCAGGGCAGCTTCCCCTGTTGTCCATTGGCCAAGACCTTCCCTTGCCCCTTGGGATTCCAAGCAGCCATTGTGTGGCAGTTGGATCTGTGGAGCCACCCCTGGTTTCACAAGCAAGCCATAGCTCTGTTTCAGCTGGTTGCTCTCCCTGGCAAAGGGTCAGATCATGAAACTTCCGAAGCGGGTTTGGAGGAAGCCCAGGGCTTTTAAGCAACGGCCAGTTCTTCTTGGCCTGCTTTTAACTTCCTTTGTCTTTGCTCTGTTGCAGTAGAGGGATGGGCCGAAGCTGCAGGAACAGCTGCAGCCCGTGGGCCGTCCAAAAGGGCTGATATAGGAGATGCATATAGGCCAGACTTAGATGGAACAGCTCCAATGTCTGAGGAACCCAAACGGAAGGAGAAATCGACTGACACTGAAGAGGACCAAATCAGCGAAGAACCTGCACGTGAACTGAGCACCAAGACTACACAATACCCATCAAAACATGAAGACTTTGTAGATAAGCCTGGGGATGAGAAGGCACGTGAACTTGCCTATGTCCCGGCTGATCCTGCCCAGCTAGCAGCACAGATGCTAGGTAACGAAACTCTTGCGTATGAAGCTGAATTGAAGGATGCAGCTATCTCTGTGCAGACCCTTCCTACATTATCCCACAGTGCAGAGGATGTTGCGGCTGCACCAGCAGAAACTCCTGCTGCTGAAGAAGAACCGCCTGCCCCAGAAGCAGCGCCTGTAGAAGCAGCGCCTGTAGAAGCAGCGCCTGTAGAAGTAGCGCCTGCAGCTTCTGCACATTCTATCAGGGCTGAGCCAGACACCCGGAGTCAGACCTCCGTTCTTGGGGAGGTAGTCCCCTCGGGAAGTCAGGCTGAGCTACCACCCGATGATGTAGTAGAGGAAGCTTCCTCAGACCCCTTGCAGGAAGAACCACCACCCCCGGCACCACCACCTCCTCCTGATAAAGACCCTTTGCAGGCTGAATCTTGTCCAAGTGAAATTGAGGTCACATCAGACCTACAGCTCACACCCTTTGGTGTCGAGGATCCCGATGCTGGTGGAGAGGCCCCACCTTACATAGAGCAGTTTCCACAGCAAATAGTAATTCCTTTCATAGACAATGTAGCATGTCTTATAGAACCACTAACGGCGTCGCTAAATGCAGGTCAGTTTAAATGCACTAGTATTCTAGATCCATCTGCAGATGATGCAGAATGTGACCATGACAGAATGGATACTACAGAGCAACTGAGACCAACTGACCCAGGTTTTGTTATGTCAGGTAAGAAAGTCAAGATGTTTTTGAATCCTGTGTATGCCTGTATTATAATCATACTGTAGTTCCATAATTAACCAACTGGTCCATCTCCTCAAGTATGCTTGCACTGTCTGGAACCCAACTGAAACCAGTGGGGTTTATACCAGCAGAGCTCCTTGAGGACTGGAGCCATAGTTATTTAAATGCAACGATCCACGGCAATGCAATGTTGAGCTAAATAATTGGTCACTTGTGCTTTATAGCACTTGCCTAGCTAGAATGGGCATGTATGCAATTATCCCCGTAGGCTGCTTCCAGATGTGCGGCTAGTCATGAGGTAGCCTCATAACGTGCCTTGCTTGAGTGTTGTCTGGCCCAGTTTTCTACGGAAACTTTTCAGGTCTCCTGCAAAAAAGTTGGTGGGGCAAGACAACACTTAGGAAAGGAGTTGTGATGAGCTGCAGTGTCTGTTTCGGTTATTTTGGAAACCATTATTAGTCTTTCTCACAGTAGACCTTGGGGTCATAGTGGATAGCTCAACAAAAGTGTCAACCCAGTGTGCTGCAATGGTGAAAAAGGCCAACTCTATGTTAGGGATAAGAGGAGAGCGCAAAAGTGGGCTTGAAGCTCAACATAAAAAAAACTAAGATCATGGCATCCGGCCCCATCACTCCTTGGCAAATAGAAGGGGAAGTCGTGGAAGTAGTGACAAACTTCACGTTCCTGGGATCCCAGATCATCGCAGACTGTGACAGCAGCCATGAAATTAAGATGCCTGCTCCTTGGGAGGAAAGCGATGGCAAACCTAAACAGTATGATAAAAAGTAGAGACATCAACCTGCCAACAAAAGTCCGCATGGTCAAAGCAATGGTATTCCCAGTAGTCATGTATGGCTGCGAGAGTTGGACTATAAGGAAGGCCGAGCGCCGAAGAATAGATTCTTTTGAACTATGGTGCTGGAGAAGACTCTTGAGAGTCCCTTGGACTGCTAGAAGATCAAATCAGTCAATCCTAAAAGAAATCAACCCTGACTGTTCCCTGGAAGGCCAGATAATGAAACTGAAGCTCAAATACTTTGGCCACCAAATGAGAAGGGAGCACTCACTGGAGAAGACCCTGATGCTGGGAAAGATTGAAGGGCAAAGAAGACGGGGACGGCAAAGGATGAGATGGTTAGACAGTGTCATAGATGCAACGAACATGAAATTGAGCAAACCTCAGAGGACGGCGGAAGACAGGAGGGCCCGGTGTGATCTGGTCCATGGGGTCGAGAAAAGTCAGACTCGACTGTGCGGCTGAACAACAACAAAATGTTAGGGATTATTAGGAAAGGGATTGAGAATAAAATTGCTGATAATGTAATGCCCCTGTATAGGTGTATGGTGCCGGCTCATTTGGAATACGGTGTACATTTCTGGTCACCATATCTCCAAAAGGACATTCCAGAGCTGGAAAAAGTACAGAGGCGGGCAACTAAGACGACGAGGGGGTTGGAGCACCTTCCCTATGAGGAAAGGCTGAAGAGTCTGGGACCTTTCAGTTTAGAAAAGAGATAAATAGGGGGAGACATGACAGAGGTTTATAAAATTATGCATGAGGTGGAGAGAGTTGACAAAGATAATTTTTTCTCCCCCTCCCAAAATACTAGAATTCGAGGGCATCCAATGAAACTGATGGGGAGTAGGTTCAGGACAGACAAAAGGAAATACTACTTTACACCGCGAGTCATTAAAATGTGGCATTCGCTGCCAGAGGATGTAGTGATGGCCACAGGAATAAACAGCTTTAAAAGGAGATTAGATTCATGGAGGATAAGTCTGCCAATGGTTACTAGCCATGGTGACTGAGGGGAACCTCCACATTCAGAGGCACTAAGCCGTTGAATCCCAGAGCCAAGAGGCAACATCTGGGGAAGGCCTTGGACTTTATGCCCTGTTGTTGGCCATCCAGAGGAACTGGTTGGCCACTGTGTGAGACAGGATGCTGGACTAGATGGACCACTGGTCTGATCCAGCAGGGCTCTTCTTATGTTCTTATTTGGAATCAGAATTGCATACCTGCGCATGCCAGCTAGAAGAGTGTTGTGTGGAACTGTAACTTAACTTTTTTAAAACAAAGTATCTAGAATTTCAGCCGTGGCGTTAATGTGGGTTTTTGCATTTAAATCAAATGGTGGTGGTTGCCTGCGCTGTCCCATTAGGTCCAGGCTCCTGCAGATGCTGCACTACAGGAAGTGGGCTAAGCACTTGTTGCTGACTGAGAAGCACAGAGTTCTGCACTGCCAGAGGCCTGGCTGTGCTTCCATGACCTAGTGCTGCCTTCCTTTCCTTTTCCTCTGCAACAAGTGTATGCCCACCCCCTGTTCTCATCTGGAGAAGCTCTTCTGTCATCTCTTTCCCAACAACTCAGTCTGAATTCACCCTACTATCGCCCTATAGCCCCTAGAAGGTAGGTAGTGAAGATATGAAAGCATGTTGGAGAAGAGAAGATATGGAAGGAAAAATGTAATCTGTAAGATATTGGCATGGCTGGGCAGAAGGAACAAGGCTGCAGCAGTAGAAGCGAGACTTGTGGTTGAGGAAATATTTCCCGACTCTCATTTTTGGGCACTCATAAATGTAAACAAAACTGTGTCCCGCTAGCCTAAATGTTACATCTCCCAGAAGCACGGAAGGACACAGGTGTCCAACGTTGTCACTATAGCTATTCCGTTTTATGTCTTGTGCTTTGGATTTATTTCCAAGTTTTTAGAAGCTGGTCATAGGCAACAATCCCCATTCACAGTCGTGAGAAGACAGTGAAGCAGAGCTGCCTGTGGCCACTCCATGTTGAACAGCCTAGAAAAGCTGAACTTGTTCTACCTGTCCTGGCTGTGGGGTTTCTTGGGGGCTGAATTTCTCCCAGACAATAGTATTCCTGTTTGTTTGGAGACTGCAAGCCATAACTCTTCATTCTGAAGAAACAAAACCAGAACGACATGATGTAGTCAGCCAAACAGGGCCTTAGAAGAAAAGCACCTTCTCACTGCAGCAACGCCGTTCTCATCTTTTTCAGCCATGCCAAGCTCTTGCCTATTCCCTCTAAGGATTCTCTCTTTAACATGCTTTCTTGCAGCATTAAATTGTATGTAAGACTGTACAATATGACTGCAGTTTGTAGCTCCTAGTAGACGGTCTTTCATGCCAGCAAATTCTCTTTAAATTTTTATTTTATAGCCATGGCAACAAGCGAACCAGGACAACCACCACCATATTCTAATGTATGGACTCTCTATTGTCTAACTGATTTGAAACAACAAGGTCGTAAGTCACCTCCACCTCCGGGACCCCTTCCAACTATGGGAACTGGTGCTCCCGTTCCCCAGGCAACCCTATTTATATCTAGTGGTAAGGATCAACCACAGTATCTACAGCCGCAGATGATACAGCAAGGTCAACCACCAAAAGCGTCCTCTCCAACTTATATGATGATGGAAGATGGGAAGAAGGGAAATGCACCACCTTTCATTTTAGTGGGCTCTTCTGTTCAGAATAAACAGGACTGGAAACCCATCCCTGGCCATACAGTCCTTACGCATCCGGACACTGGTGGTACCGTGAGAAGGTTCGCTACAATACCTGTACCGGTCGCCAGGCCAGCAGATCCAAAAGCGGCCAATCCCAATTTTAACTCAGCACAGGATAGTGGTAGACCGCCAACTCCAGTTTTTCTTTCAGTAGCCATACCACTAGAAGATGTAATGACTGGGAAGAAGGGCTCGGGAGCTGGAGATAAGGCACCATTTGCAGGAAGCTATGGTATAGCGGGAGAGATAACGTTTACTACTGCCTCAATACGCAGAACAGAATAGCGATAAGGTAGGTGGATTAATTCATGCATGCTTACGATCCTGGTCGAGAAACTCTGCTTTAAATAAAGGCCACTCTTAACAAACAGGTATTCAGTAGTGGGTTAAATTCTTGGTAGTCCAGGGCAGCTGCTCTAAAAATTATAGTTTTTTGATTCTGAGGTACAATCCTGCAAAACAAGCGCAATGGCCTGTTCTGCCTAAAACGTTGAATATTCCATGGAGATTCATCAGCTTCTGAGAAACTGGTCTGAAGTTTGCAGCCCCCTTGCCAAAGCCTGCTGGCATGTTTGTTATCAGGGATCATACGCCCTCAAATTTAGATGAAGGGTCACACAGCGTTTTCTGTGACCTGTGCTAGAGATTTCTTTTCCAAGCTGCTATTACACTTGAAGGGTAGAGGTGTGTAAAATTGAAACTGTAACATAGGTTGTGGGTTTTCTAAAGATATGTAGAAAGAAAGAAAAAGTCTTCAGTTCCCTTTGGACACATGTCTTTATATGAGAATAATTTTGAAATGCAAGCTTTAGACCCAAAGACTATGTTTTATAGACAAGGAGACATTGTCGTTAGCTGTTTATTTTGCACAGTGGGTTTGCTAGAGTAACCACAAAAGGGGGCATAAAAATAGACCGAAAAGAATTGTATTGGTTGGAAAAATCTGAAATGTTGGTGCTTTGAAACTGCATGGCAATTCCAATACCGACAGCTGTATTTCTGCTAGCTGCTTCAGGTGAGTTAAATGCAGCTGGCCTGGCAGCAGATAAGGTCAAAACTGTTTGCAAAGAGATCAGAGCTGCTGCCGCTGCCGCCTGGATGCTGTCATCGTGGTTGGTGTATCCCCACCCCCCAGCAGAAACTGTAATAAACTGTGGGATGACTGTCACATCTCTTACTGTAACAATTCCCTGAAGCTGACCAAGTGATTGAATAAGTAGCATATGTGCAGTGCAACAAACAAGGGGGGGTTGAGGAATGGCAATAGACATGGCCAGTGTTCCCTCTAAGCTGAGTTGGTGTGAGCTAGCTCACAGTTTTTTAGCCTCCAGCTCTTACATTTTTGACTTAGCTCAGGAAGGATGGCTCCAGAGCAAACTAATTTATGGAGCAGCCAAATTGCTTGCTCACAACTTGAATGCCAGTAGCTCACAAAGTAGAGTGTTTGCTCACAAGACTCCACAGCTTAGAGGGAGCCTTGGACACGGCCACTGGGAATCCTTTCCAACAATAGAGTTGAATTAGACCCTTCCCTGAGTCCAAGGAAGAAAGCTAGATTACAACTAAAGAATTTGGATCCCATGTGGAATTTTGGAGAACAATCAGTTTGAGAAACTTGCCTCCTTCCCAACAGAACAGTAGTGTGAAACAAGTGCATTAGGGGAATAGTTTCCCAGGCCTGACCCTCAGAGGTCTCGTACTGTTGTACAATTGCCACATCATGTGGACTGTGGAGGAGAAAGCTGCTAATCTTGCATAAAATTGGAGCAGTGCAGCAGGGGAGGAAGCAAGGCGTTTTTAAAATCTCTTTCTGTAAAATTAAATCTGTAAATTTTCTGTAAATTTAAATCTGTAGCGTTGAGTTTGGGGAGCGAGACTGGTGCTGGGCATGTATTCCCCAACCCAGAATACTAAAAGGTCATGGCATCCCTTGCAGGAGTGGGGAATGTGTGGTTAAGATTCACAGAAATGCCACATGACCACAGAAATGTCTTTGGACAGCGCTGGCTCTTCAGCTTTGAAACGGAGATGAGCACTGCAACCCTAGAGTTGGATTCGACTGGCTTTCGAGCAAGGGAACCTTTACATTTACTTATTTAATCACTCCAGAATAATTTTAGCTTCAAAAGTGTCAATAGTATTTAAAAGCACACAGCAGCCTGAATTTATGGATTCGTGTTGCAAAATTTGTATTCCCCAACCCACCCTAACTTCCCTCTCAGTGCCAGTATAACCTGATTGGCATCTGATTATACAAACCATTTTTCATTTTGTTATAACTGACTTTAAACTGCCTTTAATATTCTATGCTGTATAAGTGGCCCTGTTGTACTGCCTACAGTTAAGCATGAAACTATTATGTTTTCTGCTTGGGAGTGATGATATAATACTGATTAAAACACTAGTCAAAGGGCTGAGTTATTACTGCATATCTGTAGAATGATACACAGAATTCTTAACAGCTGGGGAGGGGAAAGTCATATAGTATGCAAACATCAGTTAAAGGTAATATTTAGTCAATTTATACTATTTGCACATGCAGAGATACTAGCAAACTTGTTTCTTCTTCTGTGGATTACGAAGGACAGCCTGTGCGATCCTCTTTCAAACAGTCTCCCCAGTGAGTGAGCCAGGCAGGGTCAGGGTTGCCAGGTCCTGGTTGGGAAATACCTGGAGATTTTTTTGGGGGGGGGGTGGAGCCTGAGGAAGGCAGGGTTGGGAGAGGGACTTCAGCGGGGTATAATGCCATGGAGACCAGTTGCCAAAGCGGCCATGTTTTCCAGGTGAACTGATCTCTGTCTCACGGAGATCAGTTGTGATCCCAGGAGATCTCCAGCCATCACCTGGAGGTTGGCAACCCTAAAACAGGCTCAGTCAAGTAGACAGCTGATCTAAAATAATGTACTAGTTGCTTCATCATGGAATCATTTGCTTCTCTTACAAGATGGTGGCTTTATTTACACGAATAAAAGAAAGGAGTGGGTTCATTGTGCTCAGTAGGTTAAAATATACAGAATGAGGGCCAAAGTACTTCTAGTCTATTCTGAGCCTGGTACAAACTTGCAATACGGGCCTCCAACCTCACACAATCCCAACCGCTGCATTGTTATATCTAATTCTGAAGTGGATCCATAGATTGCGTTTCAAAAAATCTACACAGTGGAGCCCAGGAAAGCCAGGGTGGGGATTTTTCTGCAAACATCAGGAAAGCCTCAGGTTTGCAGGAAAAATAAATTAAAAAGTCAGGAGCCTCCCCTCTACACAATAGATGCAATACCTGTTGCTTTATGATCTTGGAGGCCATTTTAATATTTGCTGTGCAACGACAACATTGTGAATCTTCCAAGCCTTAGTTTCTCTCAGTCAAAGAGGTGGGGTGGGAAGAGACTGAAAAGGGTAAAAGACTGCATGGAAAGGGGAAAGAAAACGTGAGCCACTTAAGTGGGGAGAACAGAGAAAAGTAGTAAAGGTGGGTGGGAGAGAAGCAAAGGGGAAAGGCTGCCAGGTGGAGGAAAGCTGAAGACCAGGTGTGGGATAAAACTGCAGATGAGGAGACAGTGGATGCCACGGTGATTGTGGGGGTGGGAAAAGGAAAGAGGGTCAGGCAGTGGACATAGGAAAAAGAGATACTCCTCCATAAGTATGTCTCCAGTCATACAGTGATCTAACAGGCTTGCAGTTTGGGACAGGAGCACAAGGCTCTGAAGTATACACATTTCCTTCCCCCCTTCTTTGGGTCCTGGTCAGTGTTCCCTCTAAGCTGAGTTAGTGTGAGCTAGCTCACAGTTTTTAAGCCTCTGACTCACACATTTTTGTCTTAGCTCAGGAAGGATGGCTCCAGAGCAAACTAATTTAGGCAGTAGCCAAATCGCTCGCTCACAGCTTTAATGCCAGTAGCTCACATAGCAGAATTTTTGCTCACAAGACTCCACAGCTTAGAGGGAGCATTGGTCCTGGTGTTATGAACAAAATTGGTTGAAGAACCTGTATGAGAAACTGCACATCCTTTTTTCCTGAAGGGGGGGGGGGGGTAAAGCGCACATGATGGTTTCTTTGCATGCTACAGTTGGAGCACCTGGTCCTTGGTTTCTCCAGGTAAAAGGGACTGGCGTAGCAGCTCCAAACCTTGGAGAGCTCTTCAAAGGAGACGGTGCTGGGTGGTATGACTGGGGTGCAACAGGCAGCTCCTTATGACGGTACCTAAGAGGTGGGCTGCAAACAGTAGCATTTGCTTGGATAGTTGTTACTATTGGGCAGGTTACGTTTTAGTGAGCAGTGCTTAAATTTCACTGAGATGTATTTCCCCCCTCTAGATTGAGAAGAGGTGCTGTCTGAATTTCACTCCACAATGGAACCTGCATCTTTAATAAGAAATTGATTACCTAATACAAGCAATCAATAAAAGCAGTGCCAACAATCTGAATCAGAATGCACTTTTTTAAAAACAACATTTTGCTGGTGTAATACAGATTATTTAAAAATTTAAGCAGGGTAACCAAATGTTTTAAAGCCAGTGTTGTGCAGTGATTAGGGCTTTGCCTAGGATCTGGGAAAGCCAGGCTTGAATCTTAGCTCAGTTCTGCAAGCTTGCTGTGGGACCTTGGGTCAGTCACATGCATCAAGTCTAACCTACCTCACAGGGTTGTTGAGAGGATAAAATGGAGGAGAGGTGAACAACATAAGCTATTTTCAGTCCCCCTGGGGAGAAAGATGGGGTATAAATGAAATTTTAATTTGTTTTTAAAAATCAGGATTTACTGTAAACCTTGGCCCAAAGTTTAAAATAGATATTATTATTAATGTATACCCTGCCCTACCCCACAAGTGGGCTCAGGGTGGCTTACAACAGAAAGCCATCAGACAATAATAAATGGCAGCAACTGATAATAACAAAAACTCATGCCTCATGTCAAGCAAGGAATAGTGGGTATCCCAAGAAACTCTGGTGCCCAAATAGTACCCAAAACCGCAAGGGCACTAGGAGGGGGACCATGGACAGGGGAGGCCAGAATGGTTGAACATCCCCCGCCTCAACCAAAGGCCTGGTAGAACAGCTCAGTTTTACAGGCCCTGCGGAACTGTAGAAAGTCCTGCAGGGCCCTCATCTCAAGTGGGAGCATGTTCCGCCAGGGCAAGGGCCACACTGTCCACACAGGCTTTGTACACGCACACACACACAACCAACAACACTGTGAGTGTCTTCAGTGCTGGCCACTGTTTTCCAGAGGATCTCTCCCTTCCTCCAAGTTTTCTGGCATGCCGAGTGACTTACAATGGGACAAAAGTCTACCTCTTATATGTCTTGCCTGAAGTGAGATACCTTTCCCCTTTCTGATCGCTTTGGAAAGAAGGTTCGTTCTTTGTACTGGGCAACTAGGGCAGATGGTTGCCTGCATGAAGTTGGTGGACTCCTAAGCCCATCCTAAAGAAACACTGCGCAGTGATATGGAAATCAGATGACCGTCACACAAAATGGTTGCAACTAATTGTAAATAATGCATGTTAGATTTGTTCTCTCAGACATTGCAACAAACCACACGGTTGGAAGGATAATTATGCAGCCATGGTGCACAACTGTAAAGGGGCGATATGCCCAGTATAACTAAGAAATTCCAGCACAGGGACAGTTTAAAGCCTTTATTTAATAGCAATTAAATTACTCAGTTAACACTATACTTCCAAACATGAATTAAATTATACAAGAGCAGCAAGCCCTATGGAATTTACCCAGTTTTATACAAATATAGAATTCCATAAAGCTCAATGAACCCCAAAGAAAGGGGTAAATCTGCTGTGTACAGTAGTCTTAGACCTGCCTTACTGGCTTTGAAATGCAGACGACTTCCTTCCAGAGTAGTTGCTGGTGGCAGCAAGTGCCCCAAGTGCACTAGAACCCCTTAGGCCAATTCCCCCTCCCCACCCACCTGTGACAGCGCTGGGCATCGCTCTCCTAGTGCATTGCAGATTTTAAAAAAAATACTTCATCTTAGTTCAAATTCAACTTTCAAAGATTTAAATGGCTCTTAATTCCTTAGGCATACAAGCATGGTAATAAGACATGAAAGAGCAAATTCGAAAACACTGCACTAAACATGGAATAGACACTGCTGAATGATGTTACCAGTTTACCCTATTTCAGACCTCAGGGAGTTAAGAGGGGAAGGGTGGCTGGTGCAGGGACAGTAACATTTCCAGCCTCACTATCCATAATCCAGTATTTTACGATGTAAAACATTAAGACAGACTTCCCAAGAGTGACCTGCCCTTCATGCCAGCGGAGTATTGCATTTGATGAATGTGCTTTTGGTATTTGTCTCATAAGAAACCTCAAGCTTCCATTAAGTCACCACAGCTATCACTAACCTAAAGACAAGGTGTTTCATTTCTGGGTGACTGAATATTTATTTTATTGCTTCCTTCAGCAAACGTGGCTAGGTCCCTCCCGCATACAGCACCCATAATTGATTTTTGTAAGTACATATGTATATATTACTTAATATAGGGAGAGTGATAAAAAGGCTTCTTCCCAAGGAACAATCCTGTGCCACCATAGCTGCTGCAGAAGCTACTTAACAGCATATTCAATGAAAAGTCAGTTTTAGGAACAAGGGAAAACACTGAAAACTGATTTAGACTTGTTTTGTGTTAGCCTCAGGCTTCCCAATGCATTTTAATAAATGTCAGGCAAGTTAAAGTAGCTTCTGTCCCAGTAGTTCCCAGAGTAAATCCAGTCATGTCCACCGATGTAGGGATTAGGAGCTTGATGAAACCACCTGAAAGGGGGGGAAAGAGGCACACATTTAGAAAGTGCATATATACATATATTCCCTGCAAGGAGATATGCAGAGTGCCACATGCTCTATCTTGCGTGTATGACTTTTCAAATAGACATACTAGAAATTCCGTACCCTTATCATCCTCATCATGTCTACACTAAGGAAGACTTAATGGAATCACTCCATTTCCTCTAGTAACTACTATTGTATCCAGTTGAAACAAATAGCAAGGAAAAAGAAAAGACAGATGGTGTTTAGTTTCCACTGGAAGTAAAGAGGCAAAACAGTTCAAGTCCCATTTCAAGAAGCTGATAACCAAGGAGGGCTGCAAATTTGGGAAGGGGGTTCTCAGTGGGTTCCCTCTTCAGAACCACCTGCTCTCTCTTACCTAGAGAACAGACTGGTGAGCAGCAGTTCTAGAGTCTTTCCTTGTGTGATATCCATCTCACAATGCATCCTTAATGTTAGGGCAGGCTATCCTGAACTCATCAGGTCTCAGAAGCTAAGCAGGGTTGGCCCTGGTAGGTATTTGGATGGGAGACCACCAAGGAATACCATGGTCCCGACGCAGAGGCAGGCAATGGCAAGCCACCTCTGACCACCTCTGAACGTCTCTTGCCTTGAAAACCTCACAGGGTCACCATAAGTCAGCTGCGACTTGATGGCAAAAGAAAGAAGACGTTCAGATATGCCTTTGCAATTAGGTTGAATTGTAACAGGAAAGCATCACTATATGTTTTTACTTTTCCTCATCGCCCCCACATACAGTGAAGCAATCTTTTGACTGCAACTGTGTAGTCAGACAAAGGGGTCCGATCCAGTGATTTTTAATCCTTGTGCAAGCAAGACCACTTTCTGCATTCCCGGCCAGCCACTTTCAGCCCAGGGAAGTTCACTCCCAGAGTCATGGCACATGTATGGAGCAATAGTCATGCTGGTCAGTGCACTGCAGTGCAAAAGGGAATGCAGGCAAAATCACTCCCACCCCCCAGTGGAGTGCCAGTGAAAAAGAGGCATGAAGCGAGACTCCCCTGCCATCCCCCGCCTCACTGGGGCTCACCTTCCCACATGGCCATTATTCCACATGGGTCCCATGATACTAGGGTCAGAACTGGCTGCTGGGAAGAGGGAAAATGGGGAAGATCCATGTTTATCACTGCCTGAGGGACCACTGGATCCAACCCAATATTTAACCATATTCTGTGAAATGCTGGGACTGTGCCGCAGGTTTTGGCAAGCACAGAACTTGCTTATGTGAAGGACATTAGCAAGAAACTAATGAGTCACCATAAGGAAACCTCTCATTATATAATCTAAAGTGCTATTTGGCAATCTACAAATGCTATGGTAGTGGGAAAAATGACAAGCCTCTGTTCTCCTTTTGAGGTGGATCCTAAGAAATCCTGCATATCAACATACATGCAATCTCTATTTAATAGAAGCGATGCAAAATTCCAGCACTGTTCAGAAAGGGGGGGGGGAGCAGAACAGTCATCTCAACTGACTTAGAAAAAGGGATGCCAGAATTAATTGGGAAGAAGGCCAAATTCATATTAGGGAATGTCACTGTTTACAGGAACTGGACACAACTCTAAACCTTAAACACAAAGCCAAGCATGTCAGGAAAGCAAGCAGAAATACGTATTAGAAAGGATCAAACCTGGGAGCCAGGGCCACTGGTTGACTTTGGAAAAAGACAAAACAAAAATGCAACTTGTGGTGACAAAAAGACATTTGAATTAGAACACATTATCACTAAAGGGTTTTGATGGCACAACTGAAGGGAACATCAAAGATGCAGTGTGGTCTGCTTATAACTAGCTTTTGTCCCCCTCTATGTGCTGTATTTAAATTTTGCAGTAAAGCCATAGGGAGGGGGAATTGCTGGGCTCAAGCTCTCCTCTCCCCTTCACAGAGCGATCTAATTAGATATCTTCACAGCAAGCCATACTTTGCCCTTATGTCTGTCCAAACTAGCAAAATGTGTCTTAACCAATACTAAACCACATGCATATGAATATATGAAGCTAACTGCTACTGAGTTGGACCACTGGTCTATCAAGATCAGTATTGTGTACTCAGCTGGCAGTCTCTCTCCAAGTCTCAGAAAAGGTCTTTTACATCATCTACTAACTGAAACGCTGGGAATTGAACCTGGAACCTTCTGCATGCCAATCAGGAGCTTACTAAGCCAAAACTACTCCCCCCCTGGAGTCCACTTTGGAATCCTGTTTGAATAGGATTTGCATGTAATTGCAAGGTATGCTTTGCCACAAAAGGCAGATTGATCTATCAGGCTAGATACAAGAGGAGCAAGACTGTAGGAGCCTAAGGATTCCCCAGATTCATGCATGGCTTGCCACTACGTCTGATCCAAGCTAATGGTCTCTTAGAGCCTCAAGCCACCAGAAGATTCCAATATCTATATATCTATTTCTCAAGTGTGGCCACCATCTGCAGATATCTAAATCTGTAGATTGGGGCCACACTGACAACAGATTCTCCAGCCAACTTGGGAAATCCCCCAGTTGTGTTAAAAAAATCTGAGAGCTAAAAAACCCCAACATTGGGGAGGGTTAAATTCCCCCCAAATAAAAAAAAGCATACCTCCTCTAGATGGCAGTGCCAGCAGTTGTGGGGGATGGTAACTGCAGTGGCCCAGCAACAACTGTGGCATTTAGGGGAACTGCAGGGAGCCTGGCAGCAGAGGCGGGGGGGGGGGCAGGCCGGGTCTGACAACAGCTGTGGGTAATGGTGGGGGGAGGGAGTAATGGCAGTCTCAGCATTGGTAGTGGTGATGGGGGAGAAAAGCTGCAGTGGCGTAAAGCTTGGTGGCTGTGCTAGGCCCACCGGAGTTGTCGGCAATGGGGGGGGGAGCCTTGGCAGCCCTGAGGATGACAGTGAGCCTGGTAGTAGAGACTGGGAGGTGCACAGGGCCTGGCAAGGGTTGTTGCAATGGGGAGGAGGAGGAGGAGGAGGGAACCATGGCATCTCCAGCAGAGGCAGAAGCAATGGGGGAGAGAAGCTGCGCTGAGCCAAAGCCAGGAGCTGTGCTGGGCCAGCCAGAGTTGTTGCTGATGAGAGGGTGGATTTGCAGTGGCCTAGAGGATGGCAGCAGCAGTGGCGAGGGGCAGGAGGGAGAAGAAGTTACGGCAGGCCCAGCAGCAGAGGCCAGAAACTGAACTGGCCCATAGGCAATGGTGATAATTAAGATGGGGAGGGGAATTTCCCCCACTGTGAGTATCGCGGGTCACCACTTGTTCATTCCTAAATCTTAATTATTGGAATCCTGAAAGATACCCTGACAAGTAGCAACAGAATGAAGGCTTCCAAATAAAGATGCCCTCCTCAAGAGGACATTCCAAATCACCACCTGATTTTCATTACATTAAAAAAAAAAGGTGGGGGGTTCTCAGGCAACTACCTTATGTAAAAGGAAATGACTAAATAGATTTGGTTCGAGTCTTCAGCTTCACAACATTCCTGTTCAGATTTTGTGTAATTTAGGACAGAGTAGAGGGACAGGCTCAGCTTAAAAAGAAACAACAAAAGCAGCTCCCACCACCTTAAAAATCTCTCTACCTCTTTCAAATCACAACCTCTGCCTGAGAACGTAAAGCGAAATGAAAACTGAAGGCATCCTCAAACTAGGGGAAATAAATCTTTCTTCAGCAGCTCAGTCTGGTAACCCTGTTCTGTCCCTGTACATGCTTGAGCCTGCGAAGTATTAGCCTGGTTAGTGACCAAGGAGATCAGAACACACAAGTCAAGGCATTCATGATTTCCTATGAATGAACAATGTGCCATTGTCCTGGCCACCCACTGATTCCCCCCCCCCCCCTGAAAGATGCTTTTTGCCATACACCCACCAGTGCAAATTTTGTGTTTGCCTTTTAAAAATCAATCATCTGATTAGTCTTCTTGTTCAATAGCTGGAACTCCTTTTAGGTGTTTCCAGGGAGAAGTGTGAGTGGAAATTCTCAATTATGTGGAGAAGAAATGTTTTGCTATGTCACATCAAAGGACAGTCCTACCACAAGTTCTGAAACGCCTTAGGAGCAGCTCACATTGCAACATTTTCAAAGTGCATATTTTATTGCAAAGACAGATAAGTTGGTTTCCAAAAAGAACAGCTTAAAGAGTCTCATGACACTGACATCAGCAGCTTAGGGACAGAACAACTCAGCCCATCACATTCTTTGTACAATAAGCCCAGGGTTACTTGGGTGCATTAACCTCCTGACTACAAGCCATCAGAACATCCTGTTGAAATGGATGAATGGCTGAAGAAAACAGCAATGTTGCCAAAAATAATTAAATTATTTCCAAAAAGTTGACATGAATGAATATGGGCTAAAACTGAATGCTTTAACAGTCATTAGGGATGCACATAAAAATCTTACTTTGATGGTTTTCTTAGTTAATTGTTTTGTTTGGATTCTTTAACTATGCTTAAAATTCATCATTACAGTTTTAATCAGTTCAGTAGATGTTTCTGTTAGTCTTAACAGGAAACACCCAGTTAGGATTTAATTGTCAGAAACTGCACTCCTCACCCGGACCCAAACCCCAAAATTCAGGCAATTAGCATCACAGGTCTCTATTTTACTGACCATTACAAGTCTCCCTTAGAGAGCAGGAACGTGGAGGCAGAGTGAGAAGTGTTTCCTCGGTCCCTTCCTGCTATTGGGATCCCGATGGGGGTGGGGCCTATTTTTAAACAAACTGCGAAGAGCTCTAAGCCTTGCATATCCACATAAAACACCCTACGTTAATACATGTCAGCATTTTAATGTTCTGTGCCTAACTTAACTTTCTTTCTGGTATCCACTGAAGAGCCAACAGGCTTCCTTGGAGAAAATCAAATGCTTCACATAGTTGAGCACAGCAAGATAAAACTGGGATCGGCACAGACTTTTGTTCCTTTCACCTGCTTCTTCTGTTTTTGTTAAACAAATATATAAATATCCATCCCTCAGCTTCAGAGGTGAAGAAGTGGCCATGAATAACCTGATTTCTCCAGAAAAACACCGTTGATAGAAATGCCAGTCAAAGATGACACCATGCTATGGGAGTGCTGTCTTGGTTGGATGACATCTATGCCTTTCAGCAAATATGAGGCTCATACTTTCCACCCTATAGTGGATACTGCCCTACCAGGAGCAAAGGAATATAAACAAGTAGATGCTGAACAGAGGATTTCACAGTTTCCCTAAAGTTGTCTTGTGAAACAGAGTCAAAGTTCTCAGTCTGAAGAGCGTACTTTAAATAATGGTTCCAAGTTTTAAAAATATCTACAGTGAAGATGTAACTATGAGTTAGTATGCTCTAAAGTACATACAGTACGATGCTGACTTAAATGAAATCCTTTGAGGGAATCCTATCCATGCGTCTTATTTTAATCAGTTGTGTTTATTTCTAAATATGTATAGGAATGCAGCCTTAGGTACACATTACAGAGAAAAACAGAATTTGCTTTGAAGCAATGAGCGCACAAAAAAAGGGCGAATAACGTCCCTGTCTCTGTCCCCTCACAATCAGCACTCAATCTCTATTTTATTCTATATTTTGATTTTATTTTATTATTTTTTATCCTTATCCTTATTACTGATCTTGTATCAAAATAAACTTTGAACTGAAAGATGTCAAGGTGTGTTCGTTTGTGTGCACATCTACTTGCTTCCAGTTTCCCTCATCTTTCTACTTTCTGAGACACACATAAGAGTTCATATGTTTGATAACTAAGGTGTTGCGTGGGTGTATACTTGCATATATGCAGGCAAGCAGACAGCAAAGGTTTGTAATAAAATGGAGTTGGTTCACGTGGGCTGGAAAGTATTACCCAGAACACACTTGAAAATACAATGCACTTGGTGTACTATTTTGAAGAATCAGGTATTCAAGCATGGTTATTATTGCTGAAACAAAAAGTTGCACACAGAACCAAGTTACCTCATAAATTAAAAAAATAAAATGCAGACGGCATTTTGAATGTGCTCAAGATCAAACAACATGAACTGAACACTGGAAGGAAATGATGTGCTTTTCATAGACTTGTGTCTACCTCTACCATTATTAACAGAGTGATGTAGATACCCAGCACCTCTCTTTCCCCAAATTTACTCTTAACTGAAAAGTGACAGTGCCCTGGCCCTCGGCTTACCACCAACAGCCTGTGACAGTGCATAAATACAGAGACCAAGACGAGCAGACTATCAATACAGACCATCATTATGATTGTTTCCCCCATCTGTGAGCATTGCTATTAGTATTAGATCTGTCACTAGCACTTTATGACAATGGATTGTCTTATGATTGTTTTATAATGCCGATGGACTGATAACAGCTAACGTGGCGCGGTTCCTGGCTAAGGTTGCCGCTCTCAAGAAACACTGAAAGCTTTATCATCTTTGCAAACACCTACACCGATTTTTAATCTTCGGAGGATTTTAGTTAATTGGCTCCGCCCCAAGTGTAGTTAGGCCTTTTTTATTCTCTGGGCTATGCCTGCGTTTTATATGTTTACTGATTGTGACTATGTACTTGTCATATTTTATGTCAATTTTATGTACCTATTTTACCCCTTTTGCATTCTCTTTTGGTCAAGACTTTGGTCATATAGACCCGTAATAAATTGAAGTATAATTTGCTATTTATGTGTTTTAATCTCTATGTAAGCCGCCCTGAGCTTGCTCCGGCAGGGAGGGTGGGGCATAAACTGAACAAATAAATAAATAAAAATAATAGTTCTGAGTTCTCACTAGGAAGCCTCACGAGTCACATACATCTGTAAACTTAATCTTTTTTTTCAACCCCCCCCCCCCCCGGGGCAAAATAATTTCCCCCCTAAATACCAGGGGCAAATGCTGAATCCAAGGCCTGATGAACTTTTAAAATGTGTCAACAAATTCTAGTAAGAAAATTAACCCAAGAAAGCAGAACTCCTTCCGAGTTTTATCACAGGAGCCTGAGCTACTTTTCACTCTTGAGGACTACAGTATGTTTATTCCTGATGGAAAAGTATGAAACATTAGGCTTTTCAGTCTCAGTGATTTTGATAGCCAGAGTGTAGCTTCATTAGCTCTTCAGCTGTTAACCTCCTAAGCAAGACCTTAAAATAAAATGCTGACATATTCAGATCACCCAGAATATTTATTAACAGGTGTTACAGAAAAACTTCACCCCCACTTCACTGACCTCGTCTTCCACTCTTCATCTGACTTAGACCTGTTTTTACGGGCAGTTCTTTGTTTTTCTTCAAGCCGTTTCTTTTCTTCGCTAGCTAAATCTAACAAAGTTAGAAAAAAAATGTTAAATTATAATCTGAAATGAAGAATGGGTAGCTGCAATACTCAGAAACAGCCATAGCCACCCATTCTAAAGCTGTTTTGTTTGCAACAAGAATTATCCTACAAGTTCCCTGACCTGGATAGCCCAGGCAAGCCCGATCTCTTTGGATCTCAGAAGCTAAGCAGGGCCAACCCTGGCAAGTGTTTGGATGGGACACCTACAAAGAATACCAGAAGGCGGAGGCAGAGGCAGGCTATCAAGCCGAACGTCCTCCATGCCCCATTAGGAGTCGCCAGAGGTTGCCATGACTTCCAGACATGGGCACACACACAAATGCAAAAATACGAAAGAAAGAAAGAAAGAAAGAAAGAAAGAAAGAAAGAAAGAAAGAAAGAAAGAAAGAAAGAAAGAAAGAAAGAAAGAGCCCATTTATGAACTGGATAATAACTACACAGTAGTAGATTATTCCACTACTAAAATATGTCATGCTTCTTAATGATGGGCTGGGCAAGTATATAAAGCAGCTGCTGACCTTGGCCTTCCTTCAAGAAGGATCGAGTATATGTTGCTTTAATTAATTTGTGGCATAAGCAGACAAAAGCCCCAGCCTCCCATCTCACAAGGCAATGTTTCACCCTTATCCAGAATGGTAGCACCTGGGTCACCAGATACAATAGTATGCTTTTTTAGTTGACTCTTGGGGATTCCCCAGGTTAGCTCCAAACTCTGTGAATGGGTATACCCCTTTGATGCCTTGACAGGTAGGCATACAACCATAGGCTCCAAATTCTCGCCCTGGTACAAACAGCCCAAAGTGGATCACAGTCAGGCCCGTAGCTAACATGTGGTCCATGGGGCCTGCCCCCCCCCCGCAGTTTTTGCAGGCACCCTCCCCCAATCGATCACTTCTCCCCCCCTCCCCCAGCTCTAGATGGCCAGGCTCAAGGTGAAGTCAGCCCAGGCAAGCAAGCGAGCAGGCGGCAGGGTTTGGCCCTGGGGCACGCACAGACTCTGCGGAAGAAGCTGGGCATGTGGGGACTGGCTACTGCCAGCATCCGACTGCTGCCACTGCTTGAAGCTTTCCTCCTCGTTTTCCTAGTAGACGGTGAGCTCCAGGTTGCCACTCAGCTTGCCCACTTCCCTCATTAACTCCCCTCCCCCGGCTCAGCGTAGCACACGCGCCCACCCACATGCCCTTTAGCCACAGAGGAGGAGGCAAGGTGGCGATTGTTAATGGAGGGGTTGTTAGTGATGCACTGGCAGGGGTTCTCTCTCTCTCTCTCGCACTCTCCCTCATGTGCCTTAAAGGGACAGCGCCGCGTGGCGTCCTCTGTGGCGGTGAATGGGGCATCTCCAGCAAGGCAAGCCCTTTGGAGGAGGAGGAGGCAGGGAGGGGGCCTGACTCAGAATTGGCTTGTGTGTGTGTGTGTGCGTGGCTTTGAGGGCAATGCCAGCCGGGGGCGGAACGGAGGAATCCTTCTCTGCCAAGGAGCGAATGGTGAGGGGAGAAGAAACCGCAAACTAGTTGTCGATGTCAAGGACATGAGTCGTGTCCCGTGTACTCGGGCAGGTGTGAACTGTTGGCCTTTGGTGGGACGGGGAGGCACTGCACAGGTGAGCGGAAGTGGGCCAGGGCGCGAGGCAGTACCGCACAGACATATAATGGCAGGCCCCCCCCCACTGACCTCCTGAGAAAAACATTGGCCCCCTGAGCAAAAAGTTGTTAGCTACGGGCCTGATTACAGTAGAGCCCATTATTTATCTATCACGTTTTACAACCTAAGATCAGCCTTTACAGCCATTCTCTTTTCAGCCACGCAATCTGCCATCCGCCTAACAGGATGCTACTCATACAAGCAGGTTGCTCAGCGTATTTGTGTCTGTGGTATGGTAGAGGGTTGAGGATCTTCCTCAATACATGTTGCATTGTCCTCTATATTGGGAACCCAGATACAAATTTCTGGTGGCCATCTTAGCCAAACTGACTGCATGCATAGCTGAGGAGAAAATAATCTTCTCTCTTGTGGATGTAGACCCATACAGTACATAGACAGCAGCCCAACATGCTCTGGCTGCCAACAAAATGCATGCAAAAGTGGTGTCTAAAACTTCAAATCTAGGTCTGTATTCTGTTTTAATTGTGTGGCATCTTATCTTGATGATTATTTTTATTCTTTTAGCTATGTTTTATTTAGGACAACTTTGTAATGGCCTTTGGACACACACAATAAACATTTACTACTATACACTTGTGAAGGCAAGTTCATCATGAGAAAAAAACACACACAGTAGCATGACAGCATCCATCATTCATGCAAGATCAAGCATAACACATTAAAGACTACATGAAAATAAGATTCCAAGTGTTTTCTAATTAGCCACAGGTAAATGTGTGTTTCATTAATGGAGGCACTCCTTCCTAAAGGGCTAGGTAAAACATGCTTTACAAAATACACCTATACATGGAGATATGCCCTGTAAAATGCAGCATTTGGATGTAGATATCTTACTGTTATTACTGTATATACGTGCATTTTACACTGCAGTTTGTGTGTTACCTATTTCACCATTTTCCATGGCTCTTATATCTGGTCGCAATCGGCAGTCAGTTTTAGGAATAACACTTTCCATTTCTTTGTCCAGTTCATTCAAAGCCAATGCAAAGGTAGTGAAGTTGTACATCTAAAAAAAGAATAAAACAAATTAATGTTTTACAGATGTTCTTTTATTTTATTATGGAGTGTCAACCATTAGTAGGTATTTAAGCTCAGAGGAAATAACTAATGGAGTTCCTTGGGGATCAGATTTGGGGACCTTTTTATTCAAAGTTTTCATCCTAGTGGCCTTGGAGAACAAAGGAGGGACATGCTTATGACATTTGCTTAAAACGATTGAATAGGAAAACCTTAAGGACTGGAGTAATGGAAAGTGAACAGACTTAAAAAACACATGAAGGGGTGGCACTGGAGGATGGATATTTGTGTCATTGGTTGGGGGCTCCTCAACTGGAAATGAAAGACAAGGGAAGATGTCAGGACTCAATTTTGCAAGATGACTACAGGCTGCCAACATGATAGCAAGTCTTCATTAGCAGGCATAGTAACTCATTTGTGCTCTTGGTACAGATATCCAGTTCTGACCCACTGTATTCAGGGATTTTTAGTTCTAACTAGGAGCAAACACGTACAATTTATTTAATTTACACACATCTCTTCTCTCCAATGGGAACCCAAAGCGACATATAGCTTTGTCCCCTTCAACATTTTATTTTCACAACAACACTGTCACTTTGAGTGGAATAGGAAGTTGTCGGCAAAGCAGCCATATGGTGGGTTCCTGCAGGGCCGGCCCGAGGTGTTTCTGTGCCCTAGGCGAGGCCAACTTGTGGTGCCCACACCCCTCCAGGCGATGCCAACCTCTTGGTGAGGCCTGGAGACCTCCCAGAAACACGCCTGGGAGGGGGGGGGTGCCGGGCGCCACAAGCTAGCCTCGCCCCTGCCCGGGTTGGCTTCCCACTCGCCCGGTCCGCTAGGGGAGATGCACACGAGCAGAGCCCTGGCCCAAGCAGTCCCCGGGGGGGAGGGAGCGGGGGTCTTCCTTCCTTCCTTCCGCCGCAGGCGGAGCGGGGGGGGGGGGCTGGACAGACCCACAGAGCCACAACAACCCGCCTCGCCAACTCCTCCTCTCCCCCCACCCCCTGGCATGAGTCTCCCTACCCCCCCCAGTGGGCGGCCCGCTTGGGGTCCAGTTTGGCACCCTAGGGGCCGGCCTGCGCTCTAGGTGAATGCCTAGTTCGCCTAGCGGGTGAGCTGGCCCTGGGTTCCTGCTGCTGCAATAGAAGGATGATTCCCATTCTTGAGCTGCTTAGTTAATTTTGGTACATGCTACGGAAGCACTCTTGTGAGACAGCAGGCCACAACTACGTGAGAACTTACTGAAGAACCTTACATCTTTAAAGAGTTAAAACACATAAGCATGGATGAGAGGGGGAGAACTAAGTTTCTTATCCGGGATGCCAGGCATTACCCAGGAGGTTTCTATGAGAGTTATTCAGCCATATTACATGTAGCTACCTCATTAGTGATGGACTGCTGGCTGGAGAAGAAAGGAGTTTACATTAAATTACCAATACTAAATTGCAGTGCAAATTTTCCCCACACATGGCAAGATTCCTTCCCCTACCTTTCCTAGAAGCAGCAGGACACCATTTTTCTGGTGTTTCAGCTTCATGAGCAGACCAACAAACATACAAAATAGAGTTCCTTTTCAACATGGTTCTTTCTTACCTGTGCTGAGTTTGCTGGCCTTGGAGCTATCCTCCATAACAAAACACTTCCAGGAATAACACACACAGTTTCAGAATCTGGCAAAGGCACCTCATCTGGTTCATCTGAACCACCCATCTACAAGAAACATAGGCAATAATTATGTATTTAATAAGGAACACGTCTAAAAGCCCACATATGGAAAAAGACACACTTCAGAAAACCTCATGTCCTTAAAATAAACCAAGCACCCAGTAACAGATAAAGGGTTGGATCCACCAAAGTTCCAGAGAGAAGATGTTCTACCCATGAAGCCTGACTTTTTCACTGTCTCCCCCTGGCAGAAAGAAACCCTTCCATCTGCGGAAACACTCTGGCCGATGCCAATATACACATAGCCAGCCTTTGAAAGATATTAGGGCTGGACTTCTCTAAGAAAAAAAATCTGAAAAGCAGTTTGCACAAATTAAAAATTTCTAAATTTTAAATAAATTGTAAATAAATTCAGATGGGATGTCATTCTAAAATTCTGAAAAACAACATTAAACTCACTGCTTCCCATATTCTTAAAGTGCAGGAAAAATATTTTAAAAGTTTAAAACGGTTAAAAATATTGAACAAGGATAGTACTCAACAGTGAATCAAGGTTTTGATTTCTGTTATATTTACTCTTCTGCAGCCCCACTGACCTGCTGTGGACCAACAGGTTTACAAAACTGCAGTTTTCACTTCAAAAAGTGAATACAATAGCTCTGATCTGTATAGCCCAGGCAAGCCCGATCTCGTCAGATCTCAGAAGCTAAGCAGGGCTGATCCTCACCCTCTCTTGGATGGGAGACCTCCAAGGAATACCACAGGGCCAGGACACAGAGGCAGGCAATACAATGCCACCTCACTGAACATCCAAGCCCCAGTAGGGGTCACCAGAAGTCAGCCATGATTTCCGTGCATGCATGCACGCATGCGCACACACATACACAAAATACACATTTTTTTAAAAAAAAGCTGAATACAATACAAAAAATAGTGGTCTTGGGACCCACATACAGTCCTCGTGGGCTAAGAGCCAAAAAACGATATTAGTATCAGGTTAAGTGGCAAAACTGCTTTTTGTTTTTCTGAAAGGTGTATGTCTATATGCATTATGTTTTGATGTGATGTCGTCCAGATGGCCAAAGCCAATTTTCCTACCTTTTCTAGTTTGAGCTACAGCTCAAGAACCAAGTGTCCAGTTTCAGATTTTAAAGTACTCCTGCAAATTTCCCATACAAATAACTAATACTAAAAATGCCTCTATCCATTACCATTTTTCTGATATAAGTAGAGATGTAAAGTTTCTGTAAATTCTGAAGCAACAGAGGGGAAAAAAAGGTTTTGTCCTTTTTTTTTTAACCCGGGAAAAGATGAAAATTCTGCAAAAAATTGAAATATGTGCAATATTTAACAGTTCTCTCAAACCTAAACCAATTGTACTCCTTTAACAACATAAAATGCTTCCTTTATAACCTTCTTAGCATATAAAATTGCAATATTTGATGTATTTATCGATATACAGGCAATGGCAAATATATCCAACACTTGAGAGAAAACTGCAAGCTGATACACCCTATGCTACCTTAGCATATGTACCTTAACTTTTGCTTTCTGGTTAGAGAGAGCTCAGTTCACAATGAAACTCAGTTTTCCTCTGGGGCTGTGGTGCAGAAATATTTCCCATCCAGCAATTTAGGGCAATAAGCTGTTTATTACCCAATCTGTGGGAATATGTGTCACAATGGTTTGAGGGAGGTGAAGAAATCTACCACAAGTCAGGTCAAAAGGGCAACAGAAAGTATGCAACAGCTGAAAAGCAAGGAAAGCCCTGCATGCTCCTCTCATGAAGACTAGATATCCTTCTATGTGCAGAAATGTATCTTAGATTTAAGAGCTGTATGCGTTTATACCATGCCTAACTTGTTTTTAAAACCATTTCACTCATTCTAAAAGAGAAAATATTTCATAGGAGGTTTTTTCAGTACTCCCCCAAATTTCCAGTTCCACTAGAAAAAAGAAAGAGTTTTTCTCTGTTTTTTCTCCCCCGCCTTCACATCTCAAGGTATAATACATATTTTTTTTTTACTCTATTTTCCACATTTTTATAAGGTTAATGGCCTATGGCATTTAACCTAACCCAGATAGACATTTGTAGTTTTTTTAAACCTTTCCAATGTGCCTTGGCATGAAGAAATTCATTTTGATATGAAAAAGATAGATCCATGAGAATGGATCCACATTTTATATAATTTTTATCCAATGAAACTGGGTAATAGGTAACTTCGAGTTACTTCAAAGATCTTTTGATTTTGTGAGTTCAGCAACTTTCAATATGCACATAGTTTTACTTACAAATCTAACACTATCGTTTCATGAATTTTATTCTCTAAAAAGCCACATATATAAGTAATAATATGTTAATAGCCCCAGCGGTGGCTTCTTCTGTGTATGTGTTTATAAATTTTTCCCTTTAAAGCTACCGTAGTCTAGTTGGTATAATGGTAGTCAGAGGAGACATGACATACATAGTGACAAGGGGATATCACACAGAATCAATGGAATTGCCATCCAGGTGAACATCATTGTGCCTCATTTGCCCACATCAATATCATGTGATGAAAACCAAGAAGAGAAGCATTTCTAGCCAGTCATTTATGGTACCAAAGTACAACACTGGCAAAATATATAGAGTAGAAGTAGACACCAAGACATTGTTCTGCCGAGCTTTGCAGAAGAATCTGATATGGCTTATGGCATGCATGTCAAACCACGAATGCCAATCATCATGCGCCTGACAAGAATTAGCATTCTTGTCCATGATGATGTCACAGTTGTGCAAACAATATTGGCTATTTGTCCACTGAAATGTCAACTGTTAATGAGGTCTTAAACCAGCCTATCAGCAACTCAAGTCTGACTGAAACCTCTTTGGGAATATAGTCCTTGGCAAAGCAGACAGCTGCATGTGAGAAACCTCTTAGTTTATCCTCTGGGGCCTTTGCCTTGGACCCCTGCAAATGAAGATGGATCAATCCAGAAGACTAACAAGGCTGTGCTTGCCAGAGTATTGGGAAAAAATGTATTTGCAGAAGAAAACAAGAAGAAGAAAAAAAAACCAATGTGGACTTGGCAGTTGAACTTGAGGACTTGGAAGATTATTTCAGTGATGATGAACATTCAAAATAGTTTTGAACAAAAAGATGTTAATGTAAGATTTTAAAACAAAAACATTTGAATATTGAACAGTTGCTGAACTCCCCCAAATTAAAGGATGTTTCTTTGCAGTAACACAGAGTTACCTATTATCCTGTTACAATGGATAAAAATCACATAAATATAGATCTGTTCTCATGTACCTAACTTGCATATCAAAATGAATTTCTTCATACTATGGCTCACTGGAAAGGTAAAAGTTACAATCGTCTAATATACCTTAGTTGACTATTTGTGTTAGGTAAAGTGCCATGCGCCGTAAACCTTATAAAAATGTGGATTAATTGACTTTCTTTGATTTATACCACAAAAGCAGAACTGGACACAGGCATTATTGGTATTAGTTATTGGTTTATTTATTAGCTTTCCAGCAGTGCTTTAAAAGTTAAAAAAACCCAACACTTTGAAATTGCGGTCACTTGGTTTATAAGTTATAGCTCAAATTAGAAAAGTCAGGAAAAATTGGCTTCAGCCATCTTCACGATATCATAAAACGCTTAAGCTAGAAATCAGAATGGGTTAGGGTTCTAAATTCAAAACGTAATACACGGACATACAACTTTCAGAAAAACTTAAGGCAGTTTTGCCACTTTACCTGAGACCGACATACAGTGTGGCCCACAGACTAATGGCTGGAGTGAGGTAGAACAAGGGGATGAAAATAAACCATCCCATAGAACTGTGCTTGCGGAAGAGGAAGGATGATAATTTCACCCCCTTGTTTAGCCCTCTGACTCACATTACTAATCCTCCACATGGGTCTCATGACCCTGAAAATGGTCTTTCCAGGGGCCACAAGGAACTGAAGGAATTGAACGGATGGTTGGGCACAGGTCTATTATATACTAAAGTATTGTTTAAACTGTTATTACAATATTCTTGTGTATGCTATTCAAGATTTCTTCAGTGTGTTGATACGTATATACCAACTTTGGCTAAATACTCAAATCTGGTAATCCTTTACATTTGGATTCGTTAATTATATGTGCAGATCTATCGTGAGATCTATATAATATATTTGAACATAAATTATATAAACTTCCTTTTTATTTATTTATTTTTACTCTATAGCCCGCCTTTCTCATTGAGGCCCAGGGCGGATTACACAGTGTAAATCAACCCATATACAGATAATAATAATAATAATAATAATAATAATAATAATAATAATAATAATAATAATGAGGAGGAGGAGGACTTCCAGAAGATTGCTTGCTTGCCTTTGCTTAAACAGCATTCATCTGCTTAACAAATTATGAATGGAGGAATAGGGGTGTCCCTCCTTCCCACACCTTTAACCTCTCCATTAACTTATGTATATGTAGGGCTACATTCACCATGAAATGATTGACAGTCATTCCGTTTATTCCTGCTCTCTGCAGCAGGAGGGAGGGGGAGTCAAGTATGGGGAACTCCTCAAAGGGTATTAATTGACTCTGGCTTTGGGGATCAGTCATGTTTGTGCAGTGGTTTAGAGTCTGATGTATTGTCTTACTTACTTGAAATCATGATCAGCTTAAGTTTCATAGAATACTTGGAGGGAAGAGTTTGTTGTATGAAAGTCTGTTGGACTTTCTATTGTAACTTAAAGAAGAAGAGGAAGAGGAGGAGATTGGATTTATACCCCATCCTTAGAGTCATAGAGCAGCTTACAAGCTCCTTTCCCTTCCCCTCCCCACAACAGACACCCTGTGAGGTAGGTGGGGCTGAGAGAGCTCTCTCGAGAACTGCCCTTGAGAGAACAGCTCTGAAAGAATTTATGACTGACCCAAGGTCACACCAGCAGCTGCATGTGGAAGAGTGGGGAATCAAACCCGGTTCTCCCAGATTAGAGTCCACGCTCTCAACCACTACACCAAATTGGAATCAAAATGTTGTTGTTCAGTCGCACAGTTGAGTCCGACTCTTCACGACCCCATGGACCAGATCAATCAAATGGAATCAAAATGAGCAGACAATGAATGAGCAAAGTATTGGTGGTGGTGGAAAGTGCTGTCAAGTCACATCTGATTTACGGTGACCCCCTAGGGTTTTCACGGCAAAAGATGTTCAGAGGTGGTTTGCCTTTGCCTGCCTCTGGTGTTCCTTGGAGGTCTCCCATCCAAATACTAGCCAGGGCAGTCCCTGCTTAGCTTCCAAGGTCTGATGAGAACAGGCTAGCCTGAGCCATTCAGGTCAGGGGAACAATGTACTAGGATTAGCAAAATCTGAATGAGTTCAGAATATTAGGCAAGATATAGAGTGTGGATATAATAAAGAAAATTGGTGTTACATCAGTAGAAAACAAGCATCAACAGGGTAATATGTGCAACTGATAAAAACATCCTATACAATCAACAGTCCCCTTCACTTTATACAGCACCCTGACCTATTCTGTTATAGTACAGCCTTGTTACTTTTATATATATAAAAAAGCTCTCCTGAACAACTCCATCCTTATACTAATACTGAAGTGGCCCCGTGCATGCGGATATCTAAATCCGCGCTCCGGGGCCACCTCGGGGGCAGGGAGAGGTTTGGGGACACGTAGGGCGGTCCCCACGCCTGCAGAAAAATGAGAAACCCTGGAAACCCTGGAAACTCTGCGAACAACGCCGCCGCTTCTGAGCCGTGGGGAGGGGGGGAAGAGCAGCGAGGGCCCACCCGTTGAAAGCCAGGTGGTCGCCCAGCTAGCAGCCCCGGCGGCCTCTCCGCCTCCGCGGGCGGCAGGGGGCAGGACTTTCCAGCGGCTCCGCTGGCGCAGACCGGAATGCGGCAGCGGCGGCGGCGGCGCTCCCCACCCGGCCGACTCTTCCCGCCAGGGCACCGCGGTGCTCGCCCAAGTCCTCCCACCAGGCCCCCCCGGCGCGTCCCCGGCGGCCACCATGCGCTGCTGCCTCCTCCGCGCGGCTCTCCGGCTGCTCCAGGAAGGTCAGACCTGCCACCGGCCGCTGGCGCGCCCGCCCGCCGGGGTCAGG